TACGAGAAACAAAGCGATTAGAGGAGTCAAGCCATATTGGCAATTTGTACATCAGAGAACTTGGTTTGTGTACTACAAATCAGGCATTTTCAGACTTTGCAGCTCAACGTAATTCCCAAATGGATATAGTCATTCGAGGCGATGACGCTAAGTATAAGCGATACATCAGTCTGTATAAGCGAAAATCCATTTGATCGTCGACGTTGATGAACGCGTTGTAAGCGGCGTGTACAACCGTACGCACCGAGCTATTCACGTGCGCGGACAAGATGCACCTAGATGCAGAGGTACTCAAACTTTGCAATCATGCAAAACAAAATGTAGGAGATAATGTACATTTGAACCCTTCCGTATCTTTGATCTTTACACTGTTAAATTTATCTTGGCTCTCACATTCTTAAGACATTTGGAAATTTTTCGATATTGTTTTACAACTCTTACACTTTTTCTTTCTATCAATAGTTGATTGAAATATTTTATTCGCGTAATTAAAATGTTTTCATCTTTATTATCGATGTTATTATTACGTTTAACTGATATTAATTTTTCATATAAACGTCTATAGTGTATTTGTGAGTTCTCGATGTGTGCTGACTGTTATTCGCGAAAGGCTAGGCGAATAGAAAATCCGAGTTTTCAGAATTCCACTTTAATAATGTTAGTATGCACATTTATTTGATTCGAGTATATTGCGGTATCCGTAAACGTGCATAATTTTCTGCCGACAACGCGCGTACCTTTCTCATATACAATAAAGTTAATAGGCGTTACATACGAATGTACCTCATTTCCCGCAAACTGTTATTTGGTATTTTCTTGCGGATGGTGGTCAATTAAGATACAGGCGTAAATCGTCGCGGAAGTCGTATTAAAGGACCGATTGACCGCGTTCCCGCATCCGTCGCTCGTAGTTTCTTGTGCCGGCCATCCATGTCGCATAAAAATTCCACATCTCGTGGTTTGAGAACCCTAGTTCGTGCCGCGTAGCAGTCGGGTAATTTCGTCGTGCGACATACCGCAGTTTGCGGTACCAAGCGCGCTGCCCGCCGCCGCCGCTGCCGAAGGCCCATAGCGCACGATTACGCCGGCAGTTTCGCTCTAAGAGAAGTAATAGCAATCTCTATCGGCGGGGCAGCAGCCGCAAGAAGTCTGCCGATCGCTACAATGTAGTTTTACACGCTGGAGGCGGGTGCTGGATGTGCTGCGCGGTTACCGGATATCGCATTTGCCTGTGGGGTCGGAGGGCAGCAGCCCGCGATTAACCGCGCAGGAAATCGATTCTGTAAGAAAAATGACCGCCTCGTGGAATTCCGTGTATCGATGCGTCAGTATCAATATTCCGTCGGTGAAAAGGCCTTCTGGTCGAATCGTAAACATTTATTGATCCACGGGAAATCGTTAACGCGAGCGAGCGGGTCATTAACGAGTCGTTAAGTTCTTTTTACGATTAGATCACCGTAAAGCTTGTAGAGAAATCTTGTGTCGCGCTGGAATGTGAAATGATGTGCCAAGTATAGCCGGCAAGAAAGAAACGTGGACAAGAAATTCTTATCCGTATTAGGACCATTATCTTCTTGCGTATCTTTAAATCGTTCATAAATCGAACACGATAGTGATGACATGACTGTAACCTAATCTTTTCATTCAATTAATTTACATTTCCAATTTTAAACTTAAATTATGTGTTATGAGTCCTATGAGACGAATACGTGTGAGATAATTACGATAAATACAAAATTAGCACTTATTTTACAAACTCGGATCTGAATAAATTTTACAACAATCGCATCTCATTATCTGTTATCTTAATTACGTCGAAAACTAAACTTAACCAAGACGAAGTCTCTAAAGTTGATAAAAGTTAGGATTGTTAAGATTCATCTTTTTACTGCAAACATATTGCACTCAAAAAAATGATCTTGCAATAATAGCTAAAATTTTCTAGGTGTAAAAAATTAACTAAAACAGATAAATGATTAGCAACTGTTGTGATATTGCATATGTAATTACTTAATCAGTTTAGATGACAGAAACAGAATATATATCTGTATTGTTTGTGAACTTTGAAAAGAAAGTTTCTCTAAAGCGCCTATCTATATAAGATCAATCACGTGTTAGATCATGCAATGAATAACATTTAGCAATGGTACCTAAATTTTTCAGAAGCTATTGCTAGAACATTACTGCTATAAATTCTATATGTGACAAACAATGTTTTCACAGATCCGAAAAATAGCGATACATTCTTGTTGCGATATCTAGAAATCTAACTACATCAGCGAAATATTTTTTTGAGTGTGAATTATGTCAAAGCACAAAATCATGTGAATTTTTTCTTTGTATTTGTGCGTTTAACAGCATCGGTAAAATATCTTGAAAATTCTTTTTTTCATTAACTCCCATACGAATAATTCTACGCGTCTCTCATTTCCGACAAAAATGAATTTAATGAACTGATCAAGATTTACTGTTTGCTAATCTACGAACCGAAAAAAGAGTCCTCGGCGTGTCTTGCCGATTTATGCTATCAAACGTGAGTGATGACATGCAAAAAATGTTCATTTTATATTTTGACGTATAATGTAAGAGAAACAAATTTCATCTCGGCACGATTTCTCATTTCTGAGTCTCGTTTCTACGTCGTAATTTAATATGACTGTAACGAGGGACTCGAAACCTTAATTCAGGCATATTCCATCGTCGCAGACACATTGAACACGACATATTGAGCGTCCGCAATTAGGTTCTGCGAAGAAGGTACATCCGTGCTCGACGTCGCTCAGATCACTGTTCTTCTCCCATTACGAGTCTCACTTAACGCCAAGTGACATTCCGCTAGCGCGGTTTTTGCGCGGTTCCGCTGACCATTCATTGCACCTTGCGCGAAATCTTCGTCTCGCGTGTGACAGTTTTTGCGGCGAACTTTGCGAGTACGTGCTCGCCGACACCTTCGACACGGAGAACCTTAAGGGAACGAGATCCTCCAGGAAGGTCTCGGTCGGAACGAGCACGAAGGAGGCGTGTCGTACACGTACGGACTGGAGTCGCCATGTTATATTCTTCACGAATGAGCTCATTGTACGTGGGCACAATTCGATGTCGAACGTTCACCGACCGTATAGTCTGTGTTTTTCAACCGTACCGCTATCCATAATAGACGCCTTTATTACGAATAGAGACTGGAACTGAGCCACGCATGGCGCCAAACAGTTGCTCGAATCGCCGACGTGTGCTCGCGTTTCTACGAGTCAATTGTGTTGATACTATAGACGAAATGATGTGGCCTATCTTGGCGCATTGTGCGAACGTTCAAGCATGTGAAAGATAGGTAGATAGGACACTTGGTTGTCTGGAGTAAGCTCTGTGAGAATAAGGACACATCTACGCCAGTAAATAAACCAAAATTATAATGAGCATAATTAGCGCAATACCGTTAAGCAGTGCAAAAAGAAAGTTGACACAACATACCAGCATATCTATGCGTTGTAAGAAATATTTATTAATCTCAATATTAGTATTAAATTATTTTTTATTAAAAGTCTTTAAATATAAAAAAGAATAACACAGAAATCTAATGGATCAGGGATTCTTGTTGGTAATATTTCGTCTTTTTCACAAATTATCACGTTAAATCTACAATTATTTGCGTAAAAAGGGAAAACAGAAATCTAACTTGTTTTAAAAATATAAAAGGAAAGAAATTAATAAAGATTTGTCATTCATATTCATATATTATACGTTACTCAATTAATATGTTAATTTTATGATGGACCCATCACGGTTATCTTGAACATAAAATATAATGTAAGATGCTGTTGAAACAGACAAGACTTCTGTAAGTAGGAGTTAATGATTTTACGAACAAGAAGTAGTCTCTAATTCTCGATTTGGGTGGTCCATCCAAACATCATTTTTATTTGTTGATATTCTTAAGAAGGAAACAACGAATGTCTGAATGGTGAAGTAATTAAAAAAAAATCTCTTAAAATATTAGATCCACTTGTAGGCACGATCAGCAGGAATCGATTTGGTACTGATCGTAATTTTGGTTTAGACGGTGAGTCGGCATTTTAAGATTTCAATACGCTGAATCTCGTTGGAATGCTATTTCATCATGGAAGCTAGATAGAAAGGATTTCATATGCTTATATAAATCTAAATATTTCGGAGCAAGGACGAGTTAAGCCCAGAAGTATAATAAATTGTCCGCTTTCAATGTGATCTTATCGAAATGTATTTTGTAAATTGTGCAATCGCGCTCCATCCTCGCCGCATTTCACCCCGTGTCTGAAAATTAAAATCAAAACGTTGGCGAGTTATTAGCGCTCGCGTTACGTGTATAAAGACTTCTCAAAGCAATCTTATTTTCGCGGTGGACATCTTTTCATACGTGGCAATTAAGAAGCGTAGTGCGATCGGCTGTACATCACTGTCTCTATTTTAATTGCCAGCTGTAGATATCTAATCGCAACGAAAATGGACGAGGACGCGATATGCGCGCCGAGGAAGAGCGCGCTGCGCATCTTTCAAGATGATGTCGTTGCGGCAATGGTTTCTCTCTCCGAAGTTGCTCTTTTCACAGAGAACAGAGCAGAGCGGTGGAGCGATGGAGTAAAGCGTTCTCCAGTTCGCTTCGAGAGCGCCTGAAGCTCGTCGCGCGGCACGCATACGCGGAACCGGGCCTCGCGTATTCCGACGCGAAGGAAGCCCAGGACGGGCGAGAGAGGCGTCAAGCCCCAACACGTCGAGCGTATTAGAAACGAATATAAATATATCGAGAGGAACGTGACACAGAGAGAGAAGGAGACAGTCGTGGCGCGGAGGGAAGAGGCAGTTTGCCCGTGTATTGGTAACATCGGAGAGTTACACGCACCGACACAACTCTCACTCGCTCGTTCCTCCTTCCTCACGCGCGCGCTTGGCACTCGCTTGCGGGCTCCTGCCTGCCGCCCCCCTTCTTTCCGCCCCATGTCCCGTACGAGGGGCCCGCTGAGTCCCAGAGTATACGGCTCAGTGTCCGCTCGGCCTCAGAACGCCCCGTGCCGGTAGAACGAAGGACGAAACACACTTGGAGAAGGTTTCGATGCGCGTCGCGCCGCATTTGTATTTTCCCCATCATTCGCATTTGCATTTCCCTCGTCGTCGCGACGACGAGGGAAAACTTGGCACGGAACGCGTCGTCAAACCGCACGCCGAGGAGTGCTTCGGAAAATAGTGTCGATTCGCGAGGAACGTGTTGAAAAAAAGCAGACGTTCAACGACCGTGAAGGATCATTGACAAGTGACACGCAATATAGCGTTAATACACGCTTGTCGTCCGCAAGTTCATAAGTTTGCACGAGGCGCGGTGTGTATCAGTCGGCATTGGAACCGAGATGCGAGTTCGATGTCACGCTATCGCATATCGCGAGCCGTCGGCCGCGATCTTCTTTGCACGACGCGATAGGTGTCGCGTATTAAAACGTTAATCCGTGCTGCACTACCGGTTACGTGTACAGATTGGTTCTCATCCCTCCGACTCGTCCCCCCTTCTCTTCGGCTCTTTCCGTCTTTTTATTCTACGTCATCTTTTTCTGTCGCGCTCCTTTCCTCCTATTGCAGCCGCTTTCGCCGGGAACACTCGGTCCTCTCCCTTTCCGCCTTGTTCTCTCCGATCATTCCTCTCCCCTGCACCCCCCATCGCGTTCTCTCTTTCCCCCTTGCCGTCACCATTGCCCTTATTGCTCGAGACCGAGGCAGCGAGTCTGTTCGCGTTTCGCGAGCGCGCGTGCCGATCGGGAGAGATGGAGAACGAATGGCGCGATCAGCGCGATGCCGCCGGCGAGACATTCGCGAGACGACGACAACAACAACGACGACGATACGGAGCCACAGCATCGCGCGATTGAGTCTTCCACTCTCGTAGCGGCTCCAACATCCGGCGCGAAGCGACTCAATCGCGACGCGAGACGCCTCTATTTCGCAAGACATCTCTGTTCCGCGTCTATTTCGCACAACGGAACATCTCTATTTTACGAAAGGGAACTCTCACTCGCGACTTTGTCGATGCGAGGAGGACGAGTTTGTGGAGCACGTCGATGTAACGTTTTTTTCGCACGGGGGGATGTCATAGATGAATTCAAAACGTAACGAGAGACCGAACGGGCGATGACCGAGTCGAAAAGCCGTAGGCATCTTTATCGTCGCGATTGACGAGGAATCGCGAGACAAAATGTGTTCGAGAAAGGCGCGAGGAGAACGACACGAGGAAAGGTAAAAAGATTGGATGTTTCAATGACGTCTTTTGTGTGTCGATTAATATCGATTGATCGATCGAACTGACATCGGGGAGAATAAGAGAAAGCTGAACCGCGCATCGGCGGCTTTCGTTAATTCCTTCGAGAAGACTCGAGAGTCTTCGAATCTCGCGGCGGAAACTGTTTGCAGCGGACAAGCGCCTCGTCGATGAGCTACGGGCGAGCCTCTTCCAGGAAAGCCGGAAAGCCAGGCTGCGAACGCAATCAAGAACATATACCGCGGCGCGGTGGGAGAGGCATTTAATACGCTTATATACCCGCCGAAGGGTTTCTACGGGGAACAAAAACCCGAGTGTCTCGAGTGCCCCGAAGCGTCTCCTTATTAGCTTTTGCGAGAGGACGACTGGCGGTCGCGAAAAGGGACATAATATACCGAGCGGGGGAAGCAGGGAGGAAGAGAGAATCCCGCCGGCGCTCTCTAGATTAGAAGGTCTCGCCACAGCGATTATTACCGTCGGGGCGGCCGCATTGTGAAGCAGGAGTAGAAGAACCGCCGGTGGAAATCGATCTTAACGACCACCGTCGTCCTCGCATCGGTCTCCGAGTCCGGATGTTGTTATCAGCTTGTTGTCGTCGTCGTCGTCGTCGTCGTCGTCGTCGTTTCCGGCGAGAGGCAGCATGTCGAGCTTAGCGCGACGAAGACGCACCGTGGTGCTGGGCTCCAAACGATGGTGGCAGGGTGGATGCTGGGCGACCAGGAGCCACCAGGAGGCTTACCTGCGAAAGCTTTACGGTCGCAAGAACAACGACGCCCGGACTAGCGTCGGACAGAACGATGAAGCCGCGACGCAATCCGGCGGCATCGACGCGCCCTGGGCAACGCCCGGCGTCGTTTACGATCTGCCGACCAACACCGCTGACGAGCACTACCTGGACGCGTTCCTGCGAAATCACGAGAATGGAGCGAACGTCGACGACGTCGTCGCCGCGATGGTCGGCTGCTCGGCATTGGCGACATCGCGCGCGAGTCCGACGGAGAAGTGCGTCGAGTTTCTGAAGAGCGCCCGTCACGACGACGCCACCAATTTCGATCGTCATGCCGCGGGGGATGCGGAATGCGACCGCGTAACAACCGACTGCGGTTCGGTGCACTCGTGTTACGATGCGACCGCCGCCGGTTGTTCGGAGTAAGTTGCCGCCACTCGGCGGAGATGAATGCGCCTTTGCGATGCTTCTCTGCGGTCGCGAGACATAAATTTCTCGCTGTACGGTTTAAAGATGACCGTGTTACGAAAATATGCTGCGCGCCTCGGGAAAATAGAGTGCTTATTCTGAAATCTAGGTGAAAAGAGTAGGTGCCTGCCCTCTTGTGAAAGTAGTCGCCTGTGTCAGATTTCCTAAATATTTTTGAATAACAACTAAATTTTTCCATTTCGATCCAAGAATTCTTTGGACAATATTCAAATATATAATTTTTAACTGCTAATAAAAATTAAAAATTCTCGGAAAATCAAATATTATATTATACATGCATACATTATATTTTGATTCAATCAATTATGATATTAATAAAATCATGATATTAATAAAATTGTATTTGATTTAACAATCCGAGAGAGCCTCAAAGAGTCTTTGAAAGAATATTGTTGTATCAGATACAGCACATACCGCGACTAGACACATGTATGTATCATTACTAATCTGTTTTTACCGCTTTATCTACTTTCTATACGTATATCTAGAGCGCAATTTCCGTTTCATATATCAGCGTCTTTCACGGTGAAAAACGGCATCTTTATCATAGCCGACAGCAGCACTTGTGTTAATCAGAAATCACTTCTCGGTTATGGTAAAAGTCTACACCGCACGTCGATCGTCTTCAGTTGAACGTTTCGATAACTGCTCGACGCTCGCTGATCCAGAACATGTGGAACAACACGTACGATGTCCGTACTTGCTCCGAGCGAAAAATTTTTTATTAAAACAACAATTTATTCAAGCGAAAAAAAAGAAATACTATCGATCGTGCATGTTGAGTGTAATAATTTGCCATTTATTCTATTTTATCGTACATCAAGATCTATTTCTTTCATTACTATATCGAATATGTCTCGTATATATTAATACACGCTTCGTATATGCGGAATATTTATAGATTAAGTAGAATTCGTAAATTTCTTAAACCTATAATTCTAAATTCTGGACTGTTTTAACCTATAATTAGAAAGATTCTGGGTTTCAATACTGAGAAAAAGATCCTAAAGTTTAAATCTACAATATAATTCGGGGAAGTGCGAAACGAGAAAACAATTACATTCTCTTCAAGGATTACTGGTCGTGGGAATTTTTAAATTTTGGCATATCATAATATTTCTAGCACTTTAATCTAATTTCAAAAAATACTATTTATTATTACAAAGAATTTATCTGTCTAGATTTAGCAATTTGAACTGAATCAATACTCAGCGTGATAATTCTGTAGAATCTGTGACTCTCCTAAAATTGAAAAAAACATTTTACGTAAATATTTTAATATCTTATTTTAGGAAGATAAAACAATATTGCAATGCAATTTGATAAGATAGATTTAGATATTAATTACGATTTACGATATTAAAAATGAGATAATCGAAGAGCAACCTTTTTAATATATGGTTTTTCTTTTCTTGCAGGAAAGTGTGCAGGAGCTGCAGGTGTCCACGAGAGGAGCATCAGCGGGCTTCAACGGAGACGGGCGGTCCTTCAGGACTCGGCCTGGGCCCGGGACCGCCGATGGCGATGGCCATGGCGTTCCCGAGTGGCGCCGGCGGCGCGCCTCACCAGGAGCCGTTCAAGAGCCCGGTGCAAGCTGCACCGGCCGGCCTGGCGCTGCAGGAGGCCCTGATGCAGCATCACCAGAGACATTCGCAGAGTGACGACGACAGCGGATGCGCGCTCGAAGAGTACACATGGGTGCCACCCGGGCTCAGGCCCGACCAGGTAAAATGGAGTAAATTAATTTTAGTTTTTGGTAATATTTGGAGCGCATAGACTGCCATCTGCAAAATTTATAAAAATGATTAAGAACAACCGTAAATATTCAACATCGAGGTCTTGATTCTTTTGTGACCAGCGAGGTATTTGCAGCTTTTTACTTACAAATTTTTTATTTATAATTTTATCTCTGTACTCTATGAAATAAATATGTGTCTCACATACTATTATATCTTTAAAAAAGAAAGAAAGACACGATAAAAGTATTTGTTTATTCAAGAGCAAAAAGTGCGCAATTTCGGTCACAAGAGTATTGATGAAAACGTAGATATACAGAAAATCGGTAATCATCTAGTTGAATTATTTTGGTTGACATTATTGAATGCGAGTAAATTGAAACGACAGACTAAGCAAAAATTCAATAAACAGAGGGCAAGAATTTTTATGAAAATTTAATGATAGAAATCAAGGGTAATATATTGCTGAGATGAGAGGGAAAAAGAGACAGAGATGAAGGTCTTCTTTGCGTACACGCGTAATGTGAGGGTGTCCCCGACGATTCGTCTTGCCGGGGACCGGTAACCGCGACAGCGGGCCCTTAGATCGCCGGCGACGATTACCATCGTGAACGACGACGGCACAGTGAGTCATCGAACCGCGCACCGTGCCGGTGAAAGCTCTCACTGCTGGACATGATGATAAAGCGTAATCGGGAGGTTGACCCGAAAAAAGGCGAATAGAAGGAGAATGTAAAAGATGCAAAATGTATAACTAAACAGTTCTACTTCTTCTTTCCTTCGCTATTGATTTTATTTCGCTTTTATATTTGAAAGAAGATATTTTTTAGATTATACAATTGCAAATTTTATATACTGTACAATATTAACTTCAAAGTTCTGGTTTTATTTCACTGGTTTTTTCACACTACAATTAATAATTACATATTTTAAATTAAAAAAAAGAAGTTTCTTATGCGCGGTTAATTTTATCCAATAAAAAAATTCTCTTTGATATATACAAATTTTTGTTTTACATGTAACTTTATTGCAAGATAAAAGATATCATAAAGACGGTCGAAAGTGTTTTAAGATAGTACCCGGATTACACGGATGCGTGTCGAATCAATCTTCGATGTGTATCGAGAGGTTTCTGCCAAACGGTGCGCGTTAATGCATCATGACACGATGCAGACTGCGCCGCATGATTATGTCAAAGTCGAATCCCTCAGAGAGAACCGATGTAAAATTTTACGGGAGAGTTCACTGAATTTCTTCTCAATTTCACTATCCGTATTAATTACAATAATGATAAGAGACTTGTTATTATCTTAGGCTTGTTAGTACAGATTCCTGTTTACAAAATGTGGCCTTATAATAACGTCAATCTCACATAACGTTATAATTTTTAAAACTACTACGCGTTCTCTTAATCTTATTGTTAATATAAAATAATTCTGCAATTACAAATAGCACAAAACTATCATCATTTTTCTAAAATTGTTCTCTAATATATTGCACAGTAATTGCTGCTATTTTTCCAAGTAATTTTTCCGATCCTTTGATAGTCCGCAATTGAAACGAAACATCGGGGCACTCTGTCTATAGAACATCGAAAACGAAATCATTTGATTTAATTAAACGCACGATGGTGCGCAATCGGATAAGGCTCGCCACGTTAGACTTCTCCCCTTCGAAAGGGCTAACTAACGTGCACTCATCGTCCTTTTAATTGGTTTAAGCGCAAACGTTTTGCGTCAGCATGGCACGGAATAGAGTTCTCGCAGCCTGTGTTAGGTATTCGCGCCGCGCGCGAACATCGGTCGTTTATCGCTGCAATGCGAAGAGTGCGTGCAAATCTGCTCCCTTCTCTTCTTCTCCTTCTCGCTTTTATTTCCCGCTTTTGCGCCCCGTTCGCAGCCTGTCCCACAGCCAGCGTCCGTTCGTCCGTCCGCGCGCGCGCGCACGTTTTCTTTACTCATTTTAAGTGTCATTACGTCTAACGCGCATTATATATTATGACTCGGCATTCTCGGCGAGGGGGACGGTAATCCCGCGCAACAAGCTTTTCGCGCTCTTAAGCTCTCGCTCCCTCTGCGCGTAGACGACGACGCCGTCAATTCGCGTCTTTGCGCGAAGATCCGAGGTGTCTCCAAAGCACAACAATATTAGCGCGCAATTTCGGATTTGCATTCATAAAAAGCGATAGTCATTGAAGGAACATATACAAGCTTATGCAAATCACATGATATCGAGACCCTCTTTCCGAATTTTATCAACCCTTAAATCTCAGCCGACAATATCTGTAAATTGAGTTTTATGCTGAATTCTTTTTGAGATACACTTTGGTTATTGCTACCGTGAATCGTCATACGTAAATACTTATTTTTTTCCGTTGATACTTTTGTCATTTTTTTCTATCGAATGATTAGTCAACAGGTAATTTTTTAAGAACCATATTTTGCGCCAGATCGGCGTAAAAGAAAGAAACGTGTAAAACGAGATTCATATCTAGGCGTCAAGCGTTTAATAGCTTGCGCAGAAAGCATCGGTGTTATCGCTACTCATAAACCGACGAGAGTTGTAGCGGAAGAATTTACCGCTAGATTGTGCGGAAACTCGATTATGCGCAAATTCCGATGGTTATTGAGCGAGCGAGTGCGCGATTTCATTCTCCAGGTATATTCTTATGGTAATATTCGCGCGAAGACGGAGTTCCCTTATGACAGGCTGTAGCGATACGACGATATTCACGCGTATGTAGTATAACTGCGCATTTTTATCATGCTTTCCTTTATTTCCTCTATCGTCGCGGACTCGCTGTAGCAGGTTTCCGTCCCAGTAGTATAAACGCACTCGTCAGTGTTTTCTTACGTCTCTCTCCGGTATGTTGACAGTACTCATCCCGATACTCATCGAAATTTGCGATGCTCAACGCAGGTTTCAACGGCCATCAGTTAACGTCAGCTGCAGTTGACACTGAATTCTTTTCTCTTGCCTATATCATATCCGGTGGTGCGATAGGAAATCAGCTAAATTATCAGTTGGAATTTCAGCTGTCAGTTATGGCAATCGACGCGAACATGTAGAAGGCCTTTACCGCTCATTTTTCTGTACAGGACATAGACAAACGGATCTTGCGCACAAATCCATTTTTCAAGCAACATATATGGCTTAATATATTATGTAGACTGATTGATCTTATCGGTTATGATTTTTTTCACATTTAACATCAATCGTCTGTTTACAAGTTACTTTATAATGCATTTTACAAAGTCGTGTCCACTAAATACCGAGTTATATATTTAGAGCATTTTTTATAATAACAGTAAGTGCTTTCATTGGCAGAAAAACGTAAAGGACTTGTATAAAGAATACATATATTGTTTTGGAATATTGATGAAATGCAGATTGATGCGTAAAAGAATTTTAGTTCACAGCCTTTTATTCTTCAAGAATCGTACATTATACAATTCCCGCGTGCACGGATAAGGATTAAATATATTTTAATTAATATTTTATATATACTTTTAAATGCAAATAAAAGGAATCATAAGCGTTACTTTTAGAATACAATGACTGCGAACGTGCGCGCCGAAAACCGTTAGAGAATCTTCGCAATAACACGCTTTGAAAATGGTAAAGTCCCACGTCCTATGTAAAATAAGTACAGGTTGTCGCGGTAATTTTCATGATAGGCCTTATATCTCGTTATTCGTATGTGGCGCTCGTCTCGATATCAGCATTTACGGCATCCAAAACACGCTATTGCGAGACGTTGCTATTTTCACCCAGAGTCAGAAATTTCAATTGCGCGTCGCCTGAATATCAGACGCTTACGGTGCTGCCCGAAACACGCTATTGCGAGACGTTGCTATTTTCTAGAGACTTTAATTCTCCTTTCTACAGGTGCACCTGTACTTCAGCGCGCTGCCGGAGGACAAGATCCCGTACGCGGGTAGCGCCGGCGAGCGCGAGCGGGTGAAACAGCTGCTGCAGCAGCTACCGCCGCACGACAACGAGGCGCGTTATTGCAGCGGCCTGACCGAGGAAGAGAAGCGCGAGCTGCGCGTGTTCGCGGCGCAACGAAAACGCGAAGCACTCGGACGCGGCCACGCGAGTCAGCTCGAGCGGCCGCACGGTGCCGGATGCCGCGAGTGCGGGCGTGCGATCGCAGCCGGCGAGATGGCCGTGGCGGCGAGCCGTGCGGGCCCGGCCGCCCTCTGGCATCCCGCCTGCTTCGTCTGCTGCGTGTGCCGTCAGCTGCTGGTCGATCTGATCTACTTCTGGCGGGACGGCAGGCTTTACTGCGGCCGCCACCACGCCGAGACCCTGAAGCCGCGATGCTGCGCCTGCGACGAGATCATCCTCGCCGATGAGTGCACCGAGGCGGAAGGCAGAGCGTGGCACATGCGGCACTTTGCTTGTCTCGAGTGCGACCGACAGGTAAGGATGCGTGTCCTGCGACATGGCGATGATGACAATATTGATGGATCTACTGTCGGATTTATTGATTGATTTCAGCTAAGTGCTGAAGTAAAAATGCATTTCTTGGAAAAAAGGGAAAATCCGCCAGAGAGCAAAAATGACTTTTTTTCAAATTATTTCGTAATTAGTTCTTATTTTTTATCGACGATACCTTAATAATGCTAATGCATTTTGATAACGAATAAGGGTGTGTTCAATGCGAGCGGAGCTCGCTTCTATGCGCGGATCAATTACAGTAATGAAATCGATTTTAGACGATTTTTCTCGCAACAAATTGGTTCGTTCTGGCAGTACAGTTGCACTGAACACCCGCCGCGAAATTAATGATTACATTCGCTATCAAATTTACAGCTGCGTAGCAATTCGTAATCCCAGCACCAGCTGACTCTATCTTCAGCTATGTCTTCCGACTTAGATAGCGTCGCGAGCGAGCGAGTGAACGCACAGCAGCAATGTGCTTTTCACATTACATCGCATGTGTGCTTGGATGTGAACTTATAAATACATATCACACCTGCGGGAAAAACTTGGGAAAAGTTGAAGGAAAATGTGTAGATTTATTCTTATTCAAATCCATTCTATGTAATTGACTAAGTGATGATATAGGAATTTTTTCTCGATTGAAATAGAATAAAATGTAGTGTCTGTATGGCGAGTAGAAGCGTGAACTCGTAAGAACTTGCATCTTATCAGATTGCTGCTGTATGCTAGAGTACACGCTCCAGTGAATAACCGGTTACCAGTATAGTACCATTATCTCTCGAAAGCTATGCTTATTTCTCTGCGTCGAGATATCGCGACTATATTTCTTCAAAAGTTAGATCGAACGAGCTACCGTTCTTAATTATATCGCATATCCAAATAGATTGAAACCATTTTATAATCCTTCTCTTCTCCCATCATTTCTAAGCGATACCCTTTCCAAGCAAACTCGACAATTTTCCGAAATTCAGGGAGTTCAGATCTTGTTTACGAAAATAGATAATAAGATGAAAAATTGGGAATGGGATGTTTTAAGCGCTCGAAGCGTTGTTTTTCAAAGTTTCATCTCTCGACTTCCGTTCGCGAATGTAGTGAATAAATCATTTCGACGCGGACTATAATTAGCCGGTTCTTTCTGAACGCCTCATAAATTAACGCGAATCGCACACCTCTTCTTCTGTTCGCAGCTTGGCGGGCAACGGTACGTGATGAGGGAGGGTCGGCCGTACTGTCTGCGTTGCTTCGACGCATCTTTCGCCGAATACTGCGACAGCTGCGGCGAGCCCATCGGCGTCGACCAGGGCCAAATGTCGCACGAGGGTCAGCACTGGCACGCGACCGAGGCTTGCTTCTGCTGCGCTACCTGCCGCGCTTCCCTCCTGGGCCGGCCGTTCTTGCCGCGACGTGGTGCCATTTACTGCAGCATAGCGTGCAGCAAGGGGGAACCGCCGACGACACCGAGCGACTCCTCCGCCGGTCCACCGCCACCCCCGCCGTCCTTCCTTAGGTGGGTAGTATTACTACGCAAATTCACTCCGCATACCGCCTTCTCCACGCCGCGGCGGGGTCACGGGGGGTTGCTTTCATTGTTCCTGCCTCCGTGGCCGTAAAGCGAGGCAGGGGGTCGCGCGGATTCGTGCGCAAAAATTATAGCCGCCGGGGAACGAAACGTCCCGCGATTACACGAGTGCGCGCTGCGCCGCTTCCGACTTGGCGACCTGGCGTTGCACTCTGAGAAATTATTGCGGCGGCGATAAATTACTAATGTGTAGCCGGTTTCGTCGACTAACTTATTTCCTCCTGGAAGCAGAAGTAGAGAGAGAGACAGAGGGGAAAACTGAGAGATTAAAGTTTGTCGACGTTAGTAAAACCGACTATTAGTCTTATGCCTCATCTGGCAATTGCCCGAAATGCACAAAACTCTTTTATCTTGATAAATAAAAAGATAACTATTAAACAACATAATAATCGTTCGTTAATTAGCTTGATTTGTCAAAAATATTTTTATTTGCAAAATTGCTTAGGTTTATGTAATTTATCGCGATATTCGGCATATCATTACTAACGAAATCGGTGAATTGTTCAACTATTTATGCTCAAAATCTTGTTAATGTGTCATTTAGAAATGTCGGCGCCTTGTATGGTTGCATTTAAATTCAGCTTATATACATAACGATGTCATTTAGAAAAAGTGTACAAGGAGGATCGGACGTCGCATTCAAATTTTATTTCGCTTTTAATTGTCCCGAGTCTTTATCATGCCGCAAATGTGAACAGTATTTAAATCTGGAATGGAAAATAATTAGCGGCATTTAGCAGGATAATTGTTCGGTAGTCTGAAGCGAGATAATAATATCACTATTTTATATCTTTGACAGAGTATTATTTTCGTTAACAAAAAAATCTTGAAATATTTTACTCTGTTTCCCATATATTTTTTTCTCTTTTTTTCTTAACAAACTATGTGCCTAACGTCGCATTTTTCGGCGTACAGAAGCGGTAGGAGGCAAGCGACAGTGGCCACAAGCGAAGACTCATCGAGTCCACCGCCTCCACCTCCACCTCCGCTTCCTCCAGGCTCGAGGCATACTCTCGGATCTCCTAGGAGTTCGCCTCGTATGATCAGAAGGCATCAACAAGTTTCCGCTTCTTTGGCGACGACACCCACCCAAAGCGCTCTGAGCCCTGACTTTGTCACCGAAGGCCTTCCTTCCAGCGGTTCCAGACCCAGCGGCCTCGACAGAGTACTTTTGGAACGAAACCTCGAGAGGCTGCTACAGGAACGCGGCTCTCATTCTGACGAAAATCGTAGCGAATTGGGAAGGTAAACTTCGAAAAGTATTAATATCCTCTAAAATTTTAGAATCGAAAAGATTTGCACGATTTAAAAAATCCTTGGATTTTTCATGCAGATGCAATTACATCGATCAGTTTAAACAGTCAAAGCATTCAAACGTACAAAAATTGCTTTTATAAAAAAATGCTTCTATAATTTGTTATCGAAGCCTGAAACTTAATAAATGAAATGATAATTATATTGTAAGGCTGATGCAAGCGCGGGATCGAGAACCCCTCAGATGCGTCCAGAATTGCACGCCTTCCCATGCGTCAAGCATGCCAGAACTGCCGCCACCCCCGCGGCCGTCGTCGGGAGCGTCAGTCTCAGTGTCGACATCGACCGCTGGCGCAGCGTCCCCGAACGCATTGGCGCCAGAGCCGACGACATCGCCGGTGAACTCCGCGATCGGAGCCAGTCAGACGGATCCACCGACGCCGACGTCGCGGCGCGTGCGATTCCAAGGGGATCTGGATGTCAATGATCACGGCGTGACATCGCGCATCCCCCTCTCGCCAATGAACGAGCAGAACTCGTCGTCATCGCCTTCCCCACCGCCGACGTCGCTCTCGAGAACGAATGTATCTCGATCAAGGAGTTTACAGGCCGACGAAGTTGCCAGCACGTCTACTTGGGGTACGTAGAACCTTCATCACGCGGAAAAATTGTCCAGACAAAATTATATATCTTTATTTTAAGATTTATGATTGAAAAACAAAAATGTGACTTTTGAAATATATTTTTAGGAACTGCAGGTACGTCCAGATCGAGAATGGACGGCGAAGATGACGACGCTGAAAGTTGTTGCTCGACGTGTAGTTCGTCCAGCAGCTCGGACGAAGCAACGGCTTACGCACTGCCTCCTCGAAGAGCTTACGGCGGCGTTCGGATTTCCTACGTGCCGAACGACGCGGTGGCATGCGCGCGAAAACGCACGCCCACCTCTTCGTCGTTGTCGAATCAAGCTCAGAGGGACACTGAAAAATGCGTCATATCTTGATGACTCCTCCGATGCTCTAAAAGTTTCGACGTCGTTATGTCGTTGTGATGATCGGGGAGAAAACGAGAGAAGCGACGTTAGAAAAACAGAGTTCCTACGCAGTGGACGCACTTTTCATATATTTCAAAGCGTTGTTGACGTCTGCGACATCGCAGTACGATTTGCACGCGCGTGCGAAGCGACATGGACACGTCTGGTAACGTGAAAACAATACTCAATTTACTTGTGTAAATATTGCAAGCTCTCTTCCGGGACAATCGCCGCATCGTTCAAGCGCAGGTGCGTTCGTCTCTATTTTTAATACTCCATTAATGTATTTGATAATAATAACGATGACAATGACGACCTCTTTATAATAATCCTGTACAACAATCCTGTACAACAATCCTGTACTACACCGATGTCACCCGCTGTGAACCAAAGTACGACCAAGACACGTCCTGTTATTGGATATCGCCTGTTCCTACTCCTCAACATCCAATTCCAAACCCTCGCGTGCAAGACCAGAGCTGTTTAACGTGAGTATACCTTCTGATTATACACCATTACTCTCTCACTATGCTCGATTGTTCACTATTTATCCGTGCGATAATACGATAATCGTTCTTGTTAAGGACCGATTCCGACGATGGAAATTTAACGCGATTGCGAGTGATAAAATACAATGCGAAATACTTTTTGCATAATATCGGTAATTTTCTTTCAGTGTAGATCAATTATTTTCTTAAACATTAGCAAATGCGTAATATTGATTAATTATATATATATATAAAACAGTTTCACTTCTTCTGTTACCGAACCATATTAGATAATTGTCAAAGTTTTCAGTTTTTTAAGAAACAAAAAAAGAATACTTTCTAATTAATACAACGAGAGGGCAATTATAATTATTTATGTCTAAATTTTTGATGCGGAAACCACTATACTTTTTGCGCTTTTCCCGCAAGTAATTCGCGAGGAAGAGTGCGGTATATGCGAGACTACCCCAGATCTCGGTTTAATCTAATGAACTGATTGTTCGCTTTCATATTTATTGTTGGACGCGCGCGGTATGGAAATCTCCAGGTAAAAGCGGCGAGACAAAAGCGAAAATTGGAATTTACGGTCGAGTAGCGAAAAGAGCGAAAGTAGTAGGCCCCTCTTAGGGACAATCGCTCACGGTGTTAGTTCGCGGCGGTCCGTGGAGGGTACTCTCGTGCTTTCTCTCATCCGGTGGGCACATTACACGCTCCCGAGAAGACATTGCATCTGACGGCATGTCAGATTAGTTTTACCATTAGTCCCTTCGGACTTTTTACTCTTTGATTGTGGATCTTTCGAAAGATCGTCGTTAGCATACGCGCGCATCTACAATCGTGCGCCGCTGATATATTACCTAACCGACGTTCTGAGAGATGCCTGCCTCGTTTGTTTGAACGACAGAAACATTTGAGATGCAGGACCTGATAAGTCGGATCTTTGATTGAGATGTGACGGGCTTGGCTTATCCGAACAGGTGACTGCTTATTTTTCACCAGTTGATTCTGTTGAAAGCATTGATTTATTTATATATAAGTATACAATATTTTCGAACTTTTTTTAATGTTGGAAAAAATATAGAATTTTTATTATCTCCTGTAGAAAAGAAATTTAAGCAATTTTCTTTGTTTATATAAGCCGCACACGTTACGATACGTGATATTTATTTATATTAATTTTTCATATTGCACAACATCGTACACGAATCAAATCATATATAAATAAAAATTAAAAAAGGACAAAGAGTAAAATATAAAAATATATCGATAATAACGGCGGGTAAATAGAATGTGAATTGGATTAAACTTTGCATTCCAAAGAAAAGAAAGCATAAAACTAATTGTTGTTAGGCAACTAAGAGAGTTTTTTTCCAAACGCATGAACATAATTAGAAATATACAGGAAATACGGGCGTGAATTATGAGTAGAACATTAGGGGGCTTCATCAGTACGCGGAATACAATTCGACATGCCTTTCTTTTCACACTGCGAAAATTGAAATCGCTAAGTGTATGCGTGAACTAGGCCGTGATTGCGCAACTATCGCGTGCAAAGCGTGATTTCCAAGTCGGAAGCCGGCCGATAATTATGCGCCCGAAAGAGAATGCGCGTTGCGCGCCTGTCATTGCTTCTAATCTCGGAACAACAGTTTTACGATTTATCAGAGAAATAATACCGATGATAAATCGAAATTGCGACGCGTTTAAATAAAAAATATAATTTAATTGCGCGAATAATGCTAAGATATTGACGTAAAATACAAGAAACATCATAATAAGAATTACGTAAAACTTTACTAATTGTAAGTAACAATGTCAGGCTCTATTATATTTCTTGAACCAAGTCCCACACTTGGCACTCCGCACGCCACTTAAGCAGATAAGAAAATTTTCTAAAATAGCATTGTCGGGTATTTCTGATGCATGTGATCACGTTTAAAAATACAACACATCGCTATTTTTTGTCCGTTTACCAATACAATAGACTACTCGTTACGTGTGATCGATGACAAAACGGCCTTCGGTCCACGCCACCCTATCCGATGTATTCGCGATTGATCGATGACACGTAATGTGGCGTGGTTGTTATAATCGGCGAGTGAACGAACAAGAGACGAATGCCGATCGATAGAACTGTGCGGGGGATCGGGGAGACGGCGGATAGGAAGGACGACATGCCTCCTCGACTCTCTTCGAGGCCGGTCGAGGGAGAGGCCGCATTCCGAGCCGCGCGGCACGGAGAAAGCCTCTCGTGCGCGTTTAGCCGCAGGACGACAAGCCAGAGCCTTCAGAGGTCGAGAACAAACTTCTCTCTCGCATCCGTTACACTGACTCGAAACGCGCCACTTCGTTGTCTTGTCGACGAAATTTCTCGCCAATCGTGAACGTAATACGAGCGATATCGTCTCTTCAAAGATGTAACTATATTTCGGAGCAAGGCACACTCTTCCTTCTCATTTTTCGAAATTTAATAGGTTCTTCTCTGAAATTCCTTTTCATTAATTTACAACAGATTTGTTTATCATTGCTCGAAGAATATTTTGAATGAAACATTTATGTTTCATCTGTGTTTATTTTTTACTTGAAATCACCTGATCAGCAGATTGTCAAAGTCTTTTTACTCTTGTGAAATCTTCTTTTTTGAATAACCATCTCTCTTCATTGATTCATTTTTACAGTCCCTCCTCCCGCGGCGAAGGCCGCAAAAACGTTGGAAGGCTCGCGAGGAAGAGCGCACGCTGCGGGGTTGCGTTCACGAGACGGTATCACGTCGATTGGTACACGCGAGCGAGCGAGCGAGCGACCGACCGACCGACACCGTCTCTCGTTCCTCTGCCTACTTTCCATTCCGATCTCCCGGCGACGGCGTCGCCGGTAAGGAGCGACGCCGTGCTGGAAAATACGAACGGGCGCACCTGCGTGCACCTGTGTATCGGCACCCGATCACCCGTCTAATTGGTTAACGATATTGGGATTGAAGTACCGCTAAACGGCCGTGGTCCGCTATCATCGTCACGGTTTACACACCAGGTCCCTTTCCCCCTCTCGCGCCTCTCCTTCGCGATGATTTCGTACGCGTAAAAACGCGGAAAGATGAGATCGAGGCGTGTCGAGGACGACATCGCTATTCGACGTCACGAAGCGAGGTGATAATACCTGTTTTGCATTCCGATCGACGGTCGACGATCGGCGGGCCGCGAGTTTCTGCGCGCAAGCAGCGAGGCTCGGCCACGCGTGCGAACCACCTCTCGAGCGCATACCAATGCTCGACTACGCAACGGCTGAATGAAAGCCTTTACTCGAAAAATTTGCCGACTCGAGAAACGCGATAATTTGGCACGCGATTGCCCGCAGAGAATAATTTTCACGAATATTTTCGAGCCCGTTAGCCAGTGACATTCGATACGAATACAAATTCGCACATGCAAAACAAATCGTAACAGAATGCGTAATCTCTCGAAGATATTTGATTACCTATATTTTATCTCGTGAAATATTTTACCACTTTGTACAATTATTTGTCAACATAAATTTGCAATTGAAATTCAGAGCGTGGAAAATTGTCGATGTAAAGTCTGACGAAATTTCGCAAAGCCGCGCATGAATACGACTTGGCGCAATTTGTTAACGTAACGCGAAACAGTTGCATCTCAGATGCGATTCTCGCGAGGATTATATAACCTGATTTTTATTTACGCAACTTGCCGTTTCAAGGTAATTTAAGCCTACGGAAATAGTACAGAATAGTACATAATACAATTTTATTCGTGATTATTTTTCTGTTGGAAAAAATTCCGAGTGATTCACCAATAAAACAGTCGCATTTTTTTCAATCTCAGAGTAAAAAAGGGACAATTAATTTGAGAATCAAAAAATTTTTTTACTTTTTTATTTTTTATATAAAAAAATTGTTATTAATCGGTTTATGTTGATTTTTAGTTTGTTTCACGTTCCACACAATATATCGCATCAATTTTACATTTGTTACATATAGTTTGATAATTATTTATCTGTGATAATATTTTGCGAAAAAGAGTGCTCTTTAAACTCCGGTTATTTCATTCAGAATCTAGAATACCTATAAGATACGCGGAGAGATCAGTTATCACAATGTTGTCTCTGCACCGGTTGCTCTACATTTATCTTACAACACATGTTATAAAATTCTGTATCGCGCAATCGAGATACCTTCGGAAGCTAGTCATATTATTTATTCGCATTTGATTCATATGTTTGATTTAGGTCAACAGTTCTCGGTCATGTAAAGTTTTACGCTCTTTTGATATTTCGAAAATTTGGTTGTAAATCTCACGCTATTTCATTGTTTAATTTTGCTTTTAATGGAAAGCAGCTAAAGAAAAAATAGTTTTTCTGGAAACATTTTATTTTTATCCAATACAGTCCCCATTATTGTTTTAGTTTGAGTTTCGCGGCTGAATAATACAACCGAGATACAGATATCGAACGTAGTACGGCACGCAGAGTAAAGGTCCGGAGAGGCAGAGGCAGAAAATACTCCTCCATCTACTCCCCGACGTAATTCATCCCGCCAAGTTTTCAAGTCGCGCTCGCAAGGCAGGAGGCAGGTATTCGGCAAGCTTTAGAGAACGCAGGAGAGGCAGGCGAGAAGCGGCCAGGTAAGAAAGCAGGCAAACGAGTCTTCGTCGAAGGTAGTGGGGGAGGACGATATGGAAGTGGAGGAGAGTGTAAAGTGAGTTTTCGCTCACGGCGTTCGCTCGCGCGCTGCCAAGTAGAAGCGCGTCGTCGCCAGTCGGATACACGATTCCGTCGAGGTAATCGTCCTTCTTCGTTTCTCTGCGAGTAACGTGCTATCTGTCGATCTTGCGGCGACTGCCACCGCGCGCGCGACGACTTAGTTTCCTGCGGTCGTGTAACGCAAACATCCGGTCGGTCGCTATCAAAATGGCCGCGCGCTAAGGAGAAAGAGAGTTCTCCCGTCTAAGTATCGCGGTTCCTTGGACACTCCGAAATCTCAGTCGGATACGTAAGAGTTCATTCTCGACGATGACGTCGACGTGGGACCGCCTCGGATAGGATTTTCTGTGAGCGAAGAAACAGGACTCGAAGCCAGGTAAGTTTGATCTAAATCCTAATCTTAACGCGCTTCGCGCGCGTATACAGTTAAATTTTTCTATTTTTACTATGTTCAGTGTTCTAAATTTATGCGTGTTCTACGTACGTTTAATCACGTGGAAAATACGAAATAATGAAAGAACGGCGAAAGAGAAAAATAGAGACAAAAGAATACAGAAGTTTGACTGTAATTAATTTTACATGTTTGATTGTGAATAATCTTCGATACGGTGAATGAAAAGATGTGATTAGATCTGCTCGACGAGATTGGCGGCATCCACCGTCGTTAGTTACGTTCTCTAAAGAACATGTTGTAAAGAATATGTTGTTAACTGTCGGGGTTCGTCAAACGTGACGCAAGTGCAAACCGTAGAAGTGAAATTGTCATTCTTTAGCAAGAAACATTCATAAATCCTCGCCTTTTCATTTGAAAATAAGTTGAACGTTAAAGTTAAAAGGAAAATTATATAATAGTACAAAGTCCTTTTAAATTCACTGATAATTTCACGAATTCCGCGCAATTCATACTTTGCAGCTATGCAATCGATCAATGAAACAATTGATAAATTAAAGATGCCTTTCTCGTTAATAAGTAGTCGTATCATTAAATAATCAGGTAATATGTTAAAGAACACCGCATTGTTCACGATCATTAAAGTCTCTTACAACGTTTATTTCTGCCAAAGAGAAAACAAATGTCACGGCTTGCGGTCAATTTATTAAATATACCAAAGATAATCACGGTACAATATGGAACCAATCGGGATCGGCCGCACTTTAATTTCAATGCTTAGCCGGCACTGTGAATCCGCGTCGGATTCACACCGGACGTCACGAGGGAACATCGCCGTTGTTCCACTCAGCTTTGTTTCGTAACATCGACGGGTTTGTTTATTTCGAGGGAAAACGGAACGCCATGTCGCGCCGCGCTGCACCGCGAATGAGAACGGGATGTTAATGAGTTCGACGACGCGCGGCTGGAATGCCAGCTCGCTTTCCATAATACATCGCTGCAACGGCGTTCTCCACAAACGTCTTGTAGTTCCCCTCGCCGCTACCACCGCAGCCTCCTTTCCCGTCGCAGTACGCGTATCTCCTCCTCTCGCGCGTTTACGAGATAACATCGCGACCGCCGGTCCAGGTACGAGAGAGCCACGCAAAGTGTAAACGAGCACGATCGACAGAAACGTCCGGCCAAGGCCGCCCGTGGAATGTCGTTGAATCGATCGATATCGAGTCGACGATTGGCGTCATGGGGTCTACTACTCACGGCTTCTTTTTTTATTCCGGGCAAATTTTTTTCCATTAGTAAAACAGATATACTAGTATCCGAATGAGGAAAAAGTATTGTTACGTAATTCAACTGTTTTTGCTAAACAAAACTATTATTCGCTTTGTATGTTTATTAGCTGGCAAAAGTAATTTAATTTTATAATATTATAAACTTTATACATCAAGAATTAGTAAGGAAAAAATTTTTAAATTACCAAATCATTAATGAAGCTCATTTAGATGAGAATGACTGTTGATATTTGTAACTACATTACTTTGAATCAAATTATATTTAATGTATAATTAATATGTACTAGTATATCTGTATTCTGTAATTAAACAAAATTTTTAGAATAGGGAGAATTTTCCACATTTGTTAACCATTGTTAATCATTTTGATATCCAACGTACCATTGATTTAGAAACAGACAATTTCAGCTATGCGCTCTCGGGAAACTCAGAACTCGCAAAAAATATCAAGGATAAATTAATTTGCGTTCTCGTCGGACAATGACGAACTGCCGAATCTTAGTTCCCCACAGTTCCCCGCGATTAAAATGAAGGACAGTCGTCGTATTTCCGGTGTCGCAACGACTTCCGCGTACTCTAGCTATCGACAAGTTCTCGCGGCGTTTCTAAAATCTAATGTTGGCTGGGATGCGTCAGTGAGAACGGGAAGTCGACGGGAGATCAACGGCATCGCCGCCGCGTTCACCGGAATGCCAGGTAGCTTTCCAGGACGTAACGAAGGAGAACCGTTCCACGTACGTTGCGGTCTTAATCTCCCACCTTTTCTTTTCGTTTCTGCGCGCCTACCGCTCGCTCGTTTACGCCACTCGTGCACGCGGACCTGTGTATCAATGAGAACAATCGGCTATTCCTTCCCGCGTTTAAAAGGCACCTTCAAAGCGAACAGCGGTGTATTAGCCTTCATTCAGGCCCTCGACTTTTAAAGATTTCGCCTTGAATCATTATATTTTTTATTGTATTTTTGATCGATTCATTTCGTAATATTTATTTTATCATCTTTGTCGGTCGATCGCCGATCTGATTGATTGCCAATTCGATATTACGCGCAAGACGCTGAAAATATATGATGAACTATCAGATATTCTATAATTAGATCGACACGCATCAAAATGAACCGAGTCCTTGATGTTAAAGCTGCTTATTCTTTTTAATATCTTGTCTGCCTATATAGTTGTAGATCAAGAATTTTCGGTGACTAATTCGCGTGCACCGACTTCCGTGCATTAGTCATGCACGTCAGTTTGAAATGTTTTTGTGCAGTGGTCAGCTTACTCAGAATTATTATCGATTTATATGAAATCTATAAATGTCCTAAAATTATAAATTTTTGGTATTTCCTCGCAGTACTAATTAGGCATTGAAAGAATTATTCTTTATCGCAAGAGATTAGCTTCGTAACTCAAGTTAATTAATCTCTATGTCGCCGCATCTATTCATGCGGTTTACCTTCACCAATACCAGTCATTAATTATAATACTTGCCGCATGTTGATCACGCTGCAAGTGTTGATAGTTTCTGCCAAATGATTATCCATTTCCCAGCACGCGAAATGGATAGCAGCTTTGCGGATTCTTTCGCGTGCTGTTCCGCTCTGAACGATTCCGTAATAACTGCTATTTTTACGTATTTACTTCTCGCGCGCAAAGTCATCAGAGGGAATGAACTTGAGTAGAATTCTTGCTCGTCTTCCGTAGCAATGGCGCGAAAGAGAGAATCCTGTCTACGCCAAGGATTCTCCAACTTTGTGGTCTCGAGCTTCTCTTAAACATCTTAGAAACTCTCGTGCCTCTCCATCCGTTTGAGTAAAACATGTAATACAGAGTTTGGTATGGAAATTGCTTGAATCAATTTTTATGCTAATGATTTTCTTTCTATTTATTAATTAGAAATATTTATTTAAAAGTCTAACTATTTTTTTTAACATTTTACGTAGAATTTAAAAAAAGTGTGTTAAATTTAGAAATCAACTATTTTGTATTAATTTTCTATCAATCGCTAAATGTTTTAGAAATTTTTGTACTTTTTTGCTTGACTTAAAAAAAAATTGATATTGGATTGATGTTTGGCATAATAGTTTATAAATTAAATATTGCAATAATTCTCTTTCCTTCCACTAATTAGATATCTTTTGACATCTTAGAGATCTCTAATGCTTTCCCATCTCTTTCAACAAAAATTCATTACAGATGTAACGTACGTGTGAAATTCTTAATTATCCTTTACGCGGACAATTCTCTTCACTTCCACCAATTAGTCTTTCTTAATGTATCTGCACGCCTTCAGTTTGAGAAACAACACTCCATGGATGTGCATATAGATATATTCCTCCGGCGTTGCTTCCCACGTGGAAATCCGATGAATGGGGTCGTTCATCGCCATCGATGTGTCATTCGTGACGGAGAAGGTCGTCCTCGATGCATCGCCGCTCTCACATCTCTCTACGTTTCTATTCCAGTGGATTCTGCATTGCGCAGATGGTTCAGTCCGCGATATTTTTACGCCGTTTGACTTCATTTGCGTGACAGATTCAATGTGAAAGAGATTCCTCACGAACGTGTCGCATTTACTAATCTCTTTGACATCTCAAAGCTGCATTGCGTAAATACTCATTCTTTGGATAAAATATTTAAATTTAGAGAGAGAGTATCAATAATCTTGCTTTTTTTTAATCGAATATCAATATATAATATTTTTAAAGAATCTTTTTAAGCATACTATAATTTTTTCAAAATTCTATTAACTGTAATACATTTTCTCTGGAACTGCGATATAAATTTTACACAAAAAAATACTTATACTGCATTTAAACCTTTGAACAATCTCGCAATAATTACACTGTTTGATTTTAATCAAGAGAACATACTTTTACGTCAGCAAACGTACTTCTTCGATGTTTTTATTTCGAGAGCGCGCGTATGAGTATAAATAAGTTTTTAATGTACTCGATATTTGTATATCGCCAAGAGTTTTTTTCGAAATGTGTATCTTGATCGCTTCCCGCGACGATGGTCGCTTTTCACGTCCGTGACTTACGTGAGTGAAAAAAAAACGCTTCGGAGCTAACGACGAGATAATTACCGGCTGATGGCTGTAGCAGCGCGCGCCCATTGTTCACCACCGATCCGGACATACGCATGTTTCCTCTACGACGGCAGTATCTTGACTTCGATGACTCATGAACACGCCATGCCCGGCAAAGAGCACGCGATGGAAAGTATGCCTTATGCCCGCAAGAAGTAAATGAGTCGGGAGGAATTTGCGTTGCGAAATTAAATCTCTACTAATCTTCGTTATCAGGAATGTAAATTTCTTCCTATCTTCTCGCCACACGATCTTTCACTGTTTCTGATGTAAAACATAGGGATGTAAATTTAAAAAAAATAGAAAAAGGAATTGGTTTGTAGATTATACCTGTATTTTAATTCTTCTTGTGTAATTCTCTGCTTTCTTATTTAAAAGTTTCTATAAAAGAACGCTTGAATGTAAGATATCTTAACATTCTATTTTAAAACCTCAGTAAAAAGATTCGCAAAGAAAAAAAGGCTCAGTTCGAAAAAGTCTAATAATTTTACTATTCTTCTATAATCAAAGAATTCTCACTATTGAAAAGTTTTGGTTTAGAATATAATCATTTTCGTGCCAGTCATCCCATTTAGAAATGACGCGATGCACTATTCTTTTTTCTAAAGACTATCGCTAATCGCCGAGAAAACTGTGAAGTCTCAAATGACTCGTATTCTGCGAGATTTAATAATTTTATTATTCGACATCTCTCCGAACGCAAAACACGTTCGGTCTTTCTTCTCTTTAAATGCGTCTTCTTCGCATGTCATTCTGTCGACGGCAGCGGAGGAGGTAGCAGGCGAAGAAGTCACGTGAGAGACGCGAATATCTTTCGAATTATGCGATCCGTAAGATCGCACCTGGTACGATCACGAGGATCAATAGCGGATCGAGGAGAAATCCCTCCTTTCCATCTTCTTCTTTACCTTGCTTCCTCCTCCACGCCGTGTCGAGAGTACGTCAGACTCTTCTTCTGATACATTCGTTATGTGTTTATTTTGCAATTATTACGTTCTCGCGCCCGGCATACCGACGTACATCATCGTCGATTAACGGATACCGGAGCTATGCAAAGAAACCGATGTCTAACATCGAGAACTACCATGGAAAATCGTGTCGGCGTATTTGCGACTGTATTTAATCAACTCTAATGTTTTCCATTGAAATCTATTTTCTAAAAATCTAGTATTTTTGTAATTATTTGTCAAGAATATTAAAAAAATTTTTAGACATAAAACGACGTATAAAATTTTCTGTAAATTAATAAATCAAACGTTACAAGTCGAGGCGTTGCGTAATTGCAAATAAAACGCAGTGACGGCAAGGTTACAGCACTTGCGCGTCTTTTTCCTGTGAGCTGATTCCTTCGCATGAACGAAGAATCCTTCTTCACACAAGCCATTTCCCACGCATCTTCGTAAGCGAGTTAATATAGCGAGACGAACAAGTAGGCAGTTGATCGTGCAATTCACAATGAACGTTTCCACTTTTCACTTTTCACCTTTTCATATCTTTCGCATGAACGCCTCCCATTTCAAATCGTACGATCTCTCGTATGCACCGAAAAAAAAATATCTCGATCACAATTTCGGCAAACTCGTGTGAAGATTCTCACTTTTTATCATGCCTTGACAAGTGAAACTTTCACTGTTTACCTTTTCACTCTTGAGAGAAGATTGCACGATCGAATCTCTGCATAATCGAAACGTTCGGAGCGCGAGATAGAATAAGCCTATAATTTATAAGTTTCACTGCAGGTCATATTCGAGCTCAAATAAGCCTTACAAATTAAGTTTAGATTATTCTTTCTTGCGACTCTTCGATCATCTTTATTTTATAATTATTAAAAAATATTGTTAAGCGATTTGATTTTAATTCGCGTCCAACATAAGAATCACGTTTGACAAGGCTACAAAAATTGAAGAGAGTCGAGCGTGTTTATCGTCGAATACGCATCGAGAATACGTGCCTTGATAACCAGATTGAGGTTTCGTGGAAAGTAGCCGCCGCTCCGAGCGGCGATCGAGATTGAGGAGATTGATCGATCGTAAATAACAAAGTTCATCGTTCGATTTCCAGATCGGCGAGGCGAGCGAGAGCGATCGGACGCCCATGCCGGGCAACGGAAGGATCCAGGCGGGTTTCAGGAGCGCGAGAGGAAGAATTACTGGTGGAAAACGCGGAAGCGTGACGTCGTGAAGGACGTCGTGTCTTTTTACCGCGTGAGAGACCTACAGAGGGACTAATTTTTCCCCGCTCGTAAGACGCGCTCCCACGGAAGGATGTCGCGGAGAACGGAATGCACGGCGCTTCTTCACGCGTCGTTCCTAACGCTGCTGATGATGCTAATGACGACGTCCTGGAGAACCGTGCAGGCTCACGTGGCGCTGACGTTCCCGCCGGCTAGGCATTACGACTTGGACTTCCTGGATAACGCCAGAACGCCGGCACCGTGCGGCATGCCGCGTGGTGAGTACAATCATCACTGTCATTATTTGTTTATCCCCACATGAAATGTCCCGACGGTTTCGTCATGCACTCTTCTTCATCTTCAGATTTCTCAACCAATTTAAATTCAATCTTTCTTTAAGCAAACATCTCTTTAAGAAAACATTGATATTTGATACAGCGAAGAGATGGCATAAAATTTTTGTTCAACGTTGTTCACTTTCTATCGCGAGTATCAAATTAGAGATATTAATTAGTCGATTAAAAATATATATTATTTAATAACAAACAAAGCAGACAGACTTGTGTTCCGAGTTTTCAAATATTCGGGCCTTCAATGAAATCTCGGAATTGCGTAACGAGGAATAAAAACGTAGCATATATAAGTTAGATATCATCTTATTAATAAAGAAATTGAATCTAATTATTTCCGAAAGGCCGAACGTAATAAATATCCGCGAAATTACTAGCTTCGAGTACTTTCGCCATTCTGAAACACACTGCAGCCTTTGCTGGAATGTTGGAACCACATGAGAGATACAAGCGTAATTCGCACGCGAGGGAATCCAGGTTCCCCGCGCGGAACCTGTCGATAGCTCGTGCTCGGTGCATTCTCCGGAAACGCGCCAGGCATTTTCGTTAGAGAATCGCGCTGGTCTCCGGCTTCGGTTTCTTCTCCAGAGAAGCGATGAAAAGAGAGGGGTTGAATACATATCGGGATGAAGTGACGGCAGGGGGCACGGATTTTCTATGGGAAAACGACATTAACGTGAACGCTCGCTCTCCTTCTCTCGGTGGGGATAGCCCACCAATCGGTACGATCCGAAGCGACTTTCACCGACTTGCATGAAGGGAACCTCTCGATACTCGCGGGCATTACCTTCCATGTTTCGCGTGTATCTAACCATCGATACTCAGGGCCGTGTCTATATTAGATGAAACAACAGAAACGAGAAGCGAGATCAAAATCTGAGACGTCGAAATGCGTGACTCTCCGAGTGACACACGTTCGAAAAAAAAATCAAATGGATATATTTATTTCTAAAATAATAAGCGTTAATAGTTCGTTAAGCATTAGGTGTTATAAAAATGAGAAGCGCGGACGTTGAAGCGCAATATCTTATTCTGCTACTTGCCAGCGAAAGAATAAAAATTAATTTGCTGGAATATTTTAATTGCAAAAAATGTCTTAAATATCAAGACACTTTTGTCTCCAACTTTCTTTGCAATTTTCTCTCCGACCACCGATTTAATGGCAAGTCCAACGGGGTGGAAAGTTGAGAAAAAGGAAATGGTAACTACACATTCGGCGTCTTCGCACTGTTGCACCGCGCAATAATACGAACACGTTGTTACAATTACCTTGCCCGATGTCGTCGGCCCTCCTTCGTCATTTTTCCTTGCGAAAGCGTAATTAAGACCACGCCGTAGATGGCACCGCATGGGTTATGTAAGCGACAGAGAAAGAGCGACCTGTATCATTATGCTGTCGAGCAAAGCGAATTATTCGTTAGTCTAACAAAGGAGACGACGTCTTCTTCTTCATATAGACTTCACTCCGTGAACCGACTGCGCTCCCATTTGTTTCCTCCCCTCATTATCGGTTGCAGTGATTAATTTGCGCGACGTTGCTTATCGCGAGCGCCAACGTATTCTCACGCGTCGCACAAAATTGCGAAAAAGCCGCATAACCGGTCGTAGAAAATTGCAGCCTGGTCGTGCGCGAGACGCACGCCACACCGATTGCATGGTGACATTTACATCGATTTTGCTATATAATTGACAAATTAAAAGATTACTGCGTAATCATGCTTTTTCCTCTAATTTTACTAACATCATTTGATTGACACTTGTACATTTGTATTATTATTTATGATTTCTATACTTTTTTCAAATGCAGCAATAGAATAGCACTCTCGTTTGCATTTGATACATTTAAAAAATTACATTTTTATTTAATAAGAAATATACTATTTTTTAATTTTTTTATCTTAATTACAAGTTCGATGTTGGTCAGGAATTAATTTTGTTTGTAACAGATTTGCATTTCTTTGAAATTTTTATTGAAAATTACGTGAACATTTCTTACTCTTTTTATTCATGTCATTTGTCTCGTTTGATATTTTATTTGATTCGGCTGAAAGCGGATTGTAACGGTCGAAACTAGCCAAAGTTTGACTCGACTGCTTTTACGATCGTGTTAACGCATACCGGCTGCATGCCGCGCGCACAACCGCGGCAATAAATTTTTCTTTCCGCGGTCGTAATTTAATCGAGCCGCTCCGACGGCTTCGCTCGGTCAATGGAAGAGAAGAACCGCTTTCCTTCCGCAGACGCTTGGGGAAGCGGAAGGGAGCGCGGTGATACAGTAATACTGGAAAAGTTGATTAAAAGTAGCGGAGGGTAATCAGTTATTTGCATTTATATTAAATTAGTGCGTAAACTTTACAGATTTGCGCTCTCGAAGGAATTAATATACACATAGAATAATTATTGCAATAGAAAAGATTGCAGTAGGAAATTAATTCTACAAAATATTAAGATAATCATTGAAGATATAAATGAACATTTATCACACATTACAAATTATTTATTTTCTCTTTTGAGATCGATAAAAATAAAATCGATGAAATACATTATCAATTATTCGCAATGAATAAATGAGAATATATACATGACTAAATTTATTTACATATATAAGTAGCTTGTATTTTGTATAATTCTTAAGACAAAATAAAATTGCAACTTTAATTCCAAAGTTTTGCCTGACGTTTTGTAGTTGAAAAGAACCGAAAGAATTCTCGATGGAAAGCTGGAATAATTAATAGGCGAGAGATGTCTCGGAATGCCTTTAGATTGCGATATACCGGTATTAGAGATACGTAACCTCTGAAACAGGTTGTGATATACCGAACGAGGTCACAATTGCTGCCGCGCATTTAGATGAATTTTCAAAATCGAGCAATATTAGAATTGCGAGACGGCGCTTCATTCGTCGTTCTATCTAACACGAAATTTCGTACAAATAGTTGTGGTCCAATTTCAATATTCCATATCTCATTTTTCAGGCAATGTGAAGACGTCATTACTGGCGGGAAGCAATTTCAACGTTACGTGGCACCTCGCCTATCCCCACAGGGTAAGTAAAATTCGAGTTCTTTTTTTTATCGCACGACACGAATCTCAAGTACGTGACAGCGGAAGACGCGTTGCCTTATAAAATGTAGTAGAGCGCTAAAATAACTGGCTAAAGTCATGAATAGGCAATCGACGTAAAGTAATATCTGTAAAATAAATCTAAATTATATTCACCTTTACAAGATAAAGAAAGATCTTGAAAGTTCTCGATGTTCAGAAAATTAATTAACGAAGATAACGGGAATTTTTGAGCTCCGAAAATAGGTCCAAGCGGATATAATTTCTTAAATATTTCACAATATCACATTTTTTATTCATTCTAACAATGTTGCTTATGCTGGTGCGCAGTATAGATTTATTTTTATTTTATGATAGTAAGATTTTTTTTCTATAAAAATTCTTATTTTATGTTCTGTGTAAATCGTGAATATTTACGATAATTGCCGCTCGAATTGCCGCTAATGAAGAGAAAAGAAGAATATTCCTCAATGAATGCGCGAATCACTATCGTTTCATACTTGATCGACTCCGTTGTTGCATCGCTCGGATTTCTCGTGAATTTGCAGAGAGAAAGGAAAACAAAACGTAAGACGCGCCCGGTCACTGCCGTCATCAACTCTCGGTGCGTTACACATCTGTACTTCGAGGAAACCAGTTCAGTAGCCAGATGCTTAAAAAAATCGTATTAACGGTTACGTGAGAGGCAGGATAAAATCGTACGTGTGTTTTATTCCACACTCGGGACTACTTTCTCCGGAACGCTAAACTTTCTGGGCTTTACGTTCTTCAGTGCGGGCGCGGAACACGTTCGAATGGAGCATTCTTCGTTATAATGGAGCGTTCTTTGTACCCTGCAAGTATCCGCGTCGTGCTGCATTCTACAGTCTTTTTCTCTCTCGCGTGTTTAATTAACCCTTTTACATCGCGCGTTACAGTGGGCTATAATGACAGCCGTCTGCAACCGTAGGTTTGCGGATAAAATTAGAGTTTGTACAGCGCTAAGCGATTAAATCGAGTAAATTGAATTGAAGGCACTATGAACTATCGATTACGCGCAGAATCTTATCGGATCAGCGATTTTCTTAGAATCTCCGATCAAACGAAGGAGAAAGCTTTACGAGCCATTGGAGAAAGCATTATCGGAGTGTGAAATATAAGATTAACAACGCGCTACTGCGCGTTATCAAAACTTTAAAAGACTATAAATGCTAACCATCGCAGCGTAACTTTATTTAAATCAATTTTCGCCATTTTTCATCAGCTACGAGCGAACAACTTTACGAGCGTTCGCAAAAACATTATCAGAAGTATTAGCGAATCGCTGGAGAATTATGTGTTATCAACAAGTTACAGAACTAAAATGATATAACATTTCTTTATTGAAATCTGGTAAAGAAACCTTTAGCTTTCGCGAAAGATGTTAATGCGCTGCGAAGAATCATCGTGTGTTATCAAGTACGTGTCTTATCGAAAATTCGTGATACAAAATCGTAAACACTTTATTTCTAAAATAAATTTTAACGAACTGAAGCGAAGAGAAACGTTTTTCTGCAAAAGTCTTCGCCAGCTTAATAACAATAAATTCTTATTGCACGTCATCGAACAAATAGAGAAAACGTCGCGCGCTCTTTCGCGTTCGTCGAAACTCGTCGTGCACGATGATAATCGCCCGCGGTCAATTCGTATTCAACGTACAAGTACGCGGACACTTGACGCCATCCGCAGGACATTACAAATTTGTCCGCGCATGGTCTACGAAAGGAAAACAGCACGACGACGCCGATGAAAGAGTCGAGCTGAGAAGAGGCTCTCTCTACCTACGCGTGCTCGGCGCTCAAGGTGACACGCGCTGAATTATTCACGAGCGTGTGGTTTCCTCGCAGGCATGTGGTCTACGAGTAGGCCGAATAGAGGCGGTATAAGCAAGCAGGCAGGCAAGCAGGCAAGCGAGCAGGCGGGCAGGCGAGCATACGTTAGACACGATGCCCCGGAGGAGAAGCCTCCGAGGTAGAGCAGATTGGTATGCTGGGTACCGTAACTTGGACGACGCCGATGACGATCGCGCTTGAGCACGAAGGCGTCATCTCGCCTTTGGCTAGCATGCAAAACCCGGTGACTCTTATCTGGTGAAGCGCGCGGCGAAACCGAGCGAATCTTCCTTGGTTGCAACGACTGTGCAACGGCGGCTTTGCAAAACATTCTCTCCATTGTACTGCAATTAAAAAAGAATATTTACATCTACATTTAAAGAAATCGAAAAATACATTTGTGTGTGAGTTATCATGTTCTAATCTAAAATATCTAAAATACAGAATATTATTCTTTGATTAAGTTCAAGTAAATCTTGTTGTTTTACATTTTTTATTTGAAAATTGATACAGATTGATTATATAATTAATTCCATTTATATTTGGATATTTAATAATGGATTTTAAGCCTTACTAATTATTACAAGACTTGTATTTTTTTTTTGTTAATGCACCGAGATCCATAAAAATACCACAGTTAGAAATGCGAAAAGAAATTGCTTCTAAATATGTAGAAAAAAAATATGACCTCTTCAGGGAGTTCTCGCAAAAACAATCTCGCGAATTTCGCGAGTTGTTAATGTGCGTCCATCGCTATTGCCGCGATGGTAGGAACGCGCGCAATAAACATTCGCGCAAATTACGTTACGACAGGGATGTTAAAATCGCGACCGCGGCAGCCACAGCCTCCGTATGCTCGAAGATATCCGCGGCATGAGAAAAATTCGACAATAACAACCGTGCCTCTCCGGAGAGTGCAGGTATGTTCGCCGCGTGCGAAGCAGTACCATATTGTTGCGACGATCTCCCTTTCTCCTTCACGGCGGTGTTGCACGGGAGGGAAGCGTGTTGTTTCGCGACAACGAGCACCGTTCTTTCATTCTCTACTGCGTCTTTTACTGATTCACGATTCTCCGAATGTGTGGAAAATGTCACACGTTAAAATAACTATCAGACTCACATATCCGATCTGGAGAACAAAAATCGGAAAATAAAAATTTAGATTTGTCAATGAACATCGCTTGAATGGAAAGTTATGGTGAATGAATCTAGTTGTAATATCAGCGATTAATTTTATAAGTAAAACATTTAGAATTAAAATTTATATACAATGCTAATCCTTTTGGTGCCAAGAATTGTCTATTTATTGGATGCAAAAATGTAATATTGAAACTAAAGATTGTCTAAATAAATATTTGCAATTGAAATTATCAACTCTCCGGAGTGAGAATTGTCATGTTATATATCTCGATCAAGTTATAATAATATCCGCCGAGTTAGAATAATAATTGCAGATTGTCGCGATAATCTTTGCGTTGCTTCTTCCTACGGACGACACGGATGCGGATGTTACTCAATAACATTTATGAACTTGCATCGGCTTGCACATGAGCTCACTACGCACTTTCCTAACGGTGCCGCGGCTGACGCGATTGTAAAGAATCTCACGATGTTGCAATCGGTGGCGCATATCAATCGGTCGAGCAAGTACTCATTAACTCGCTGTCATTATTCCTGGCGGAGGAGGGCACGGGAGGGAAGGGAGGAGTACCGTCACTCCCCCGCAAGTCATCGCGCGCGCTCTTAATTCGGCGCACGTTTCATAAACCGTCGAGTAACATTTCGCAAACGCAGGATTGCGGCCTCGCGAGTTTGCGGCTAAACGCTAACAGGAATAACGTGACCAATCACGCAAGAAGCACCGCTCGCCCATATGACACGCTCGTATGACGCGATTCCACCCGTACCGCTATCCATCGACATCCTAGCTGTAGATGCAAATATCCATGTCTGAAATCCGGCTAATTTTTACGCTATAAAGCCAAGATATATGTTTGCTACGATTATTTATATTGTTTAAGCACACAAGTAATGATTTTAATATAATTATATTAATGTAACTATTAAATCACAATTTAACTCTCCGATTATTTTACATTATTCTCGTATATGCGATTGTATTGTATTATATGTAGAATTTTAGTTGTTTGAATGATACGAGTTTGAATGAATTGCGAAATAATGATATTTAACTATTGCAATGCGTTCAAAGCAGAGAAATCCTAGTCCGTTATTTTTGATTTATTGAGGATAGCGTATCTAATCGCTGGCGACGTAGAACGAATCAGCCGTAATGTTTCTTGCAACTCGTCGAGTTGAAAAAAAAATCGAGAAATCGAACAACCGGGGGACCCACTTGCATCGATTCCGCTTCAAGCTGGTATCGAAACCGTTTTACCGCGTTGCCTCTTCCTTTGATGATATGTCATTTGTTGCGGGACTCGAGTAAAAGCCATAAATTTAGCGAAATAATGCGAAATAATGTACGGGCGAAATACATAGTTAGACATTCAGTTCATGACTCTTATCGAAAACATTTTTTAATTTCTAGATTTCAGAAAAATACGCATATGCGCGAATCTCTCTACGAAAATTTAATCCATAATTTTTATTTATTTAAGTTTTATTTGTTTCATTTAAGTAATTTAAAAAATTATATTTTAATTTTTAAACTACGTTAATAGCTATGTCATTAATTAAATAATATGTATGTATGTATTCTCTTTATTTTTCAGGGAGGCTTTCGGCTACAAATCTTAGACGCTCTCGACAGGCCTCTGATTGATTTAACGCCTGTCACGCGTACCAGCGAATTTGTCGAAGATGATGCTACGTAAGTGTACGACAATATATCTTCTTCGGATTTCGATTACTGTAAGTCTGACTTTTCCGTTTTTTTTATATTTTTTTTCAGGGCACAAAGCTACGTCGTACATCTGCCGCAAAATTTCACCTGCGTTGATTGTACCATCAGATTGTTGCGGGAGGCTGAAGAATGGGGCTCCAGCTACAGATTTTGGTCGTGTGCCGACATCGACGTGAGTTTCTCTTGGAAAATGCAATTTCTAATTCTATATTAAATAGCATGATGATTCAATTGATGATTGAAGTGATAGAAAGTATCAATACGAATTAATTGAAAAATAAATTACACTCCAGCAAATGAAATAGAATTGATATTAATTTTCCCTACAATTTGTGAAACACCCCTCATGCTGTCTCTTTTCAAGAGACTCATTATCCTCTTGTCGACAGATCCTTGACAGGAGTGCCTATCGGGAGGATTGTAGCGGCCACGGGCGTTATCTCTTGGGCAGGTGCAGATGCGACCGTCTCTATCACGGCACAAAGTGCGAATTTAAGGAAGAGTGCCTGGACGACTCGGACTGCGGTATTCAGGGCACGTGCATCGACAACGGTGGCACGACCGCGCCTACCAAGCACTGCTACTGCAACGCGGGCTGGTTCGGTCCGGGTTGCGCGAAAAGTAAGTTTCGTGCGCTCGGCGCACTAATCGGCAAAATTCCTTTACAGAATTTCTTGCGTGTCATTAGCCGCGATAACATTCTGGGACATTTATATTGAATCGGTGTTATCGTCGACCTCGCTGTTTGATATCGGGACGAGAAAATGTCATTGCAGAGCAATTATTAATTTTTATTAATATAATATATTGACAATTATCTAAATTTTATTATTAAATTATTTAATGCTGTTTATAAGGATTATATGTTGATAGCTTAATCTTTTTAGTAACTGTTAAAAAACAAAAACCATCGCTAACGGAAATCAATCAGATTAAAAAGTTAAAAAAGCGTTAAGCCAGCTATAAGAAATGTTGTTTACTTCAACAAGTTTAGCGGTAAAACCGACCGTAGTAATTGCTCTAGCTCCACCTATAACTCTACTTTAGGATCATCGGTGAAAAGCATTAACGTAGACTTGGATGCGTACACGACGAAGCGGTTCTCCAAGGACATCGTATTCTACTGGAGAATCCTGAAAGATAGCAAAGAATTAGAGGGTATTCTGGTGGCCAACTCGACCACGTGGATCGGTATCGGGTGGAGACCCAGCGATCTGGGCCCATCCTGCCGATCTTTTCCGATGATCTCTGAACGATCGGAACCGCTTCCGAAACCGGAACCAAAATCGGAACCGATCGCCGAAACGGAGCCTGAAGCGGAACCAGAGCCCGAGGCGAGGCCCGAGCCCGGTGTAGAAGGCGAGAAATCGATAGCGAAGAGACGATCGGCCAAAGCGGACGCCACGACGTTCGGAATAACATCTCGACCAGATGTTGACGTCACCGTGCAGACCAGCGTAACCTACCAAGTCAGCACAAAGCAAGGTAAGTTTTATTTATTACTTTACTCGTTATTTATCGGAAATCGTTATTTATCATCGCAATATGCTTGCCAGAATATCAAGTATCTCAGGAAGTTTTAATAAACATTACAACATAATGACTCTTTCTACATTTTTTTTTAAATTCATATTGTTACTGCTGCATGCACAATTTTTGTACAAAAATATTAACGTGCAAACTAACGCACACAATTTTCGTGCAATTTTAGTTTGTAGTTTTTATATATTAATTTTAAATTGCACCACGTAGATGTATAAATCGTTCGTATGTTAAATCATGATAAACATGTTTGATAATATCAGCGCATTGAAGAATATGCTTGTACTTTGTTTCGACTACATTTTATTCCGCAATAAATGATCGTCATTGTTGTCTCTGAACGACATGTATTTTATCGAGACCGCGTAGAGTTCAAGGAGTTTCGTAATTACATAAGTGTTAGCTACGGAAAAATAACAACGCAAGCAGAAGTAATCCGCGTCGGAATAATAATATGTCAGGTGCATCGAACATCAGAACGCACGCAAATACCACAATATATCTATATCTTTTGCAACTGCCTTTTTTCCGCTCCCTTCATTTTACAAAAATAAAAATTTTTAGCTTGTAACAGAGTAAGAATTTTTATAGAGAACTAAAATAAAATTTATACATTTTTTACTTTTTGCCGAATTATAATGTTTTAAATGTTCGATGTGCACATACTATTCACGAATAAACGCAACGTATGTGTATCACGTTGCGCACATCGCATATTACATAATTATTACGTTACTATAAATCAGCTGGTTAGAAGTAGAACCATGTGTTCTATATAAGTCACTGATCTATATAGTATCTGCGCTAGGCAGCCTTGGCCTAAATCAAAATTACTCGAGATATGATTATAAGTCAAAAGAATTGTGAAACCTTCAAAGAGCTGCAAATTCTCTATTAAATTCTTGAAATGCTATTTAAAGTCGGAATTTTTTATTTATTATATTTATTATAATAGACGTTGCAACTGCAACTAACGCAAAAAGAATCTTATATATTCTGATGTCGAGAATAAGAAATATGATTATTCATGACATGACTTTCGCGATACAATTTTTGTACAAGATGTTCTTTAATTGATAATAATTTTTTTCACATAGGTCGTAAGAAAAGATCACCAGAACCAACGCCAGTCTCTGCGAATGGTATGTATCGAAATTTATATGCCCGGAATAACTCGGATGAGTCGTTTGCTTGCCCAAAAACTTAGCAGTAAATAGTAGTTTGTCCAAAAAAATCCCAGTAGCTTCTGTAGTAAGTTCCACCTTTCGAGACACGACGCACGAGGTGATGGCTCTTATAAGTAGGTAGTTGGCACGACGTACGATGCTTTGTTGCACAGGAAAACCGGTCGGCGAGTCCAGGCGAGAACCAAAATCCGAGCCAGAGCCAAAATCCGAGCCCGAACCCAGCTCTGAGCCGGAGCCAAAATCCGAGCCCGAACCCAGCTCTGAACCAGAACCAAAATCCGAGCCCGAACCCAGCTCTGAACCAGAGCCAAAATCCGAGCCCGAACCCAACTCTGAGCCCGAACCCAGCTCTGAGCCAGAGCCAAAATCTGAGCCAGAACCTAGCTCTGAACCAGAGCCAAAATCTGAGCCAGAACCCAGCTCTGAACCAGAGCCGAAATCTGAGCCAGAGCCAAAATCCGAACCAGAGCCAAAATCCGAACCAGAGCCAAAATCCGAACCAGAGCCGAAATCCGAACCAGAGCCGAATTCCGAACCAGAGCCGAAATCTGAGCCAGAGCCAAAATCCGAGCCAGAACCCAGCTCTGAGCCAGAGCCCAAATCCGAGCCAGAACCTAGTTCTGAACCAGAGCCAAAATCCGAGCCAGAGCCAAAATCCGAACCAGAGCCGAAATCCGAACCAGAACCCAGCTCGGAGCCGGAGCCAAGTGTGGGTCCGAAGTCGGGAGCGACGAAAGGTAATGAGGACCGATTTAGCGCTTACATCCGCATACATCGTCATGCTGTTATATCATTTACTTTTGAGCTACCAGAGATTTTTCCTTTTTTATTTATTTTTGAACCAACTGTTTTCCTCGTCGCAACAAAAAAATTGCGTTTAAGTATGAAATTTGTAAGCCTGTGAATTTAATTCTGACGCATGTTACGTGTGTGTGTGTTACATGCGTGTGTTGTTTGAACGAAGAGAAATTCACGAAATGTTAAAGAAATCTCTCGTAGTTGTAGCCATCAGAGTACATCTCGACAATGATCAGTAGTACACGCGTGTACGTCACCCATTACTTACGATATTCGCGACTTTCACGATAACCGCCGGGAAAAGTTTGAACAACTGGAACGTGAGGACCGTGACGGTAAATATTTGTTGAGAAAGCGTAATTAGCGTACTGATAAGAAGTAAGAATGATTTATTTCGTGCGTGCGACATCCGTCGCTTCCACCGGATGCGACACTGATTGCAAAATGGCAATGCAATTGCGCTGACTCCGCATAAATTCCTGTTTTAATAATTTTACCAATTGCGACTTATTTTGCGCAGCAGTAAAAAAAAAACACCTGTAGATATAATAATATCGATAACGCTTACGCTTCACGTCCCGCGTCGCTACACACTCACTTCGAAATTTATATATCTGTAAATACGAATATAATTTCCGAATTGCAGCATGCATTACCGCGACACGACATTTGCACGTGTCTCGATACATACCCGTCACACGACTTTTCTCCGACACCGTAGGACACCATTTAACCATAATGCATTACCATAACATCGACTCATCTAATTCAGACGAATAATTCGAATTCTGTACTAACTGAAATGCATTCGATGAAAGAAAATAATTTTCTCAAGTGTTAAAATAGAGAGAAAAAGGACTTAAAATAATTTTAAAAATTATATCAGAAGCTTATGTATACTGGACGCATTTCAGTTCACTACTCATCACTTGCTGCATAATTACGAATATTTCATCTATGTTTGGCTTTGTATTAATAAAATCTGTACATCCTCGCATCCAAAGCATCGTTGCCAGTCCCGCGACACAGATACGAGCCCAAGCACGATTTCAATCCGATGGACTGCACGGACATCATAATCGGCATGGCGCGAGGGACGAATTATAGAATCGGCGATTATTATACGAGGGACAGATCGACGCCTCGCAAAGACGAGTACTGGGACAGGAGCGGAAGGGACAGCTTGACAGCTGCATTCGGCTACGAACGGGACGGCGTCACGACGATACTCTTCCGCAGAAAATTAATTGCCACAGAGCCGACTGATCACACGATTCGCGACGGTAATATGCAGGTGATTTGGGCGAAAGGTCAAGAGCCGGGCAAGTACGTGCATCAACCGGCTAGCGGGATTGAAAAGGCTAAGGTCAACGTCAAAGACTTCTACAAGGTCGACGAGCTTAAATATCACGGCCATAGAATGCAGAGAGGCGCGGTGACGATGAATTTCTTCGGTGAGTCTTCTATCCAATTTGCCATGTGTATCGTAAAATCGCGGAAACCTTACTCGGTTTTGAATTAAACATGTTTAGCGACACATTGTTAAATGCGCAGAACTAAAATCGCGAATTAAATGCTACAAATAGATATACTGAATTTTCTTCAACAAAATTATTCCCTTTCATTTTTGAATATTTTAAACATGTTCGACTTTTTACATTTTTATTTTATAAGCAAATAATCTCAAGTTAATCTTTAAAACGTAATATTTGGGCGTTTAGACGAGGCTAAGAAACCGGAATTCACCGGCGGTGCAACGCTGCAAGACGGCAGATGCGGCGGTAAGTGGCGTTATCCGAGAAATTGCTCACCAGAAAATGATACTTGCGAGTACGCTATACAATGGACGTACAAGGGTCGAAAGGTAATTTCTCATATTTCCTCTGCGTTCCCTTTATACAAGGGGAGCAGACAAAGTCGCTCTTCTCTGGTGAAATCAATATCATGGAAATTCTTTTCTACAGGATCTAATAACATTCGAAATTTCCACGATGAACACTAACACGTGGACCGGAGTTGGATTTTCCGATGACAGTAGCATGGTAAAATATTATCCCGATAATATCTTTGAGGATTTTTGAGTTTGCGTTCAAAAAACAAAGTCAAATATTGAAAAAAAAAGCAAATCTTGAACAAAAGTCTCAGGAATATTCAAACGACTTTCTTATCGCAGAGAAAAATACCTGTAAAGAAAATTCTAAGTTAAAATTTACACAGATTGTATGTGAATGCTTTCGTGTTATATTTTTAGTCGCAAACTGACGCCGTGCTCGGTTGGGTCGACAAGAGCAACGGTCGAGCTTTCGTGATGGATACTTGGATCAGCGGTTATAACGCGCCGCTGCTGGATCCGTCGCAAGATGTTTATAATATCAGCGGCCGTATCGAAAACGGCATGACCACCCTGAAATTCTCAAGAAAGCGCGGAACGAAGGATAACAAGGACCTTTCATTCACGGACGATCATTGCTTGTACATGATGTTCCCGTTAAAGGGTGGCGCGTTCAATCCGATCAATAAAAAAATTCGGAAGCACGACGAGATACCAGTCGTCTCCTCGGAAAGAATATGCATTAAATCCTGCGGCACGGAAGGTAAATATTGGTAGATTTTTACATTTTTATTGCTTTGCTAAAATAGCTAGTTTAACATGAGAGAATTAGCAATATATATACGATAAAATTTTTTATTATTTAATTGGTTAGCGGCAACTTTTGTTGAAGTAATTTTTCATAATTAATGATGTACTCTATTATTTCTGATTTCACTTGCAAACAAATTTTAATAAAACTTTAAATTAATATTTTAAGTTATTGACGTGCTTCTCAGATTATTGTTAAGAATATTATTCAATTCTCTACGTAGAACTTGATGAGCAAACTACTCCTGCACCGCCGAGATTGTATTACGACATAGAAGTGAAGCTCGTCAACCTGGGCGATGGTTTTATAGTGCCCACGCTCGACAGTCCCGACTTTGAAATAATTTCGAACAGTGTATCAGAAAGTTTCGGACCAGTGTTCGAGAAACTCCCGGGTTATTATCAAGTCCGACTCAACGAGCTGCAAAAGTAAGATAAAGCACGACGGTAGAATAAAGCGATAAAGCGCGCTGCTTCAACGTGTCATTATTTTCTCTCGCAGAGACAACGAACACGGAGTGATTGCGCACATGAATCTGATCCTCGACAAGAACGAGGCCAAGGGCAGATCCTTGAAACCTGCGGACACCGGCCTAGAAGCGGAAAAGGCATTACGCGAAGCGCTCGTGACTGGTAAAGTCGGAGCGCTCAGCGTCGATCCACAATATTTGATAGTCAGAGTGCCCCGAGGTGAGCACAAAGTCTCTCAAACAGTGCATATACATTAATTAATTAATTATAATTGGTGTTTCTTCTTTTCTTTCGATGAATTTTCTTCAAATTTTTTTCGCAGTCTAATTTAAATAAAAATTTAGAATACTTTTTTAATCATTTTTTTAAAACAGAACAAAAAAATATTGAAAATTATACAATAAAAATAAATTACCGAGCATGATTTTTAAAATACTAATAATTTTCAAGATATTTAAATTATTGAAAACTATTCTGCCACAATGTTGTTTCTAATGAAATTATGTACTTAATTTATTTTCAGTGAACGATATAGATGCGGATGACGAGAATGACCGACCATCAGACTTATTCCTTGGTGCTACGAAACTTTACATCGTCGTCGGCTGTGTAGCTGCATTGCTGGCTCTCGCGTTGCTGCAAGCTAGTTGCACTCTCTACAGGAGTTCGAAAAGACGGGCGACTAAGGTACGTCATATGTGTGCCAGAACCTTCTCACTCTTTTCCGCGTGTTTTTTTTTTCTTTTTCCACTTTTTCTCGCATCCCTAAAGTTTCCTTCTAAGTGTTGTATTGTGTTCTATTCTCCCTCTAACGATTTTATAATCATACCTAATGTGTTCCAAGAAATATCTGTTACTCAAATTTTTATTTCCGAAGAAAATAGTTTCTAGACAAAATGTGTAATATAACTTTTGTATTTTCTAATTCTTACGTTTAACAATTGGATCATTGCAAGGTTGATTAGTAATTAGGATAACTCAAGAACTAAACAAATTAAAAATTAAATCGCGAGACCATGAAAAAATTCTTAACTTAATTGTGAGGTAGTATTGGGCATATTTCTTAACTTTTAATGAAAATAACTGCCAAAGTTATTTCGCTTTCTTGGAACACACTCAGTAGCGTGCAAACTACACTTTCACCCCCTAATAAACCCAACATCTTTTGCTTCGCTTGTGTTGCATGACCCTCCCCGCGACCAAAAAAGAGGGTGTATTCGCTGCCTCTGGCTTCTTCTGACGCGCCCAACCCGATTCATCGCACGAACGCGACGCGGTATCATCGACAACAAAACGGCGATCATCATCACCATCATCACAACAACAACAACAACAACAACACCAACAACAACAACAACAATCATCACCATCATCATCATCACCATCACCAACTTCGACATCATCATCAACATACCCCGTCTGAAATGCATCGAGCTAATCCCAGCTGGAAAGAACTCCTCCTCGAGTATCATCGGTGCGCAATATTATATGCCCCATACATTTTCTTGCTCGCTAATTCAGGTATCCGGCCCTCCGCGCTTTCTGCAGCCGCATCTTCCCGCACCTTTACAACCTTCCTACAGCTTTTCTCTAACCTTATTTATTAGTTTTTCTACTAATATCTGGAATGGTTAAATTAACTTGTATTTTATGTATTCCTTTCTTTCGAATGCATGCAAAAATAGAATAAATTTTTTTTCTTGCATTACTGTCACTTTGAAAAGAAATATATATACATATATTTCTTTTTTTATTGTTCAAAAATTTGAAAAAATAGGAAAAAAACATAGAATATTCGATAAATTAAAGGACATGAAAAATTGGATTTTTAATAAAAAATGTTTTAGTCGTTTTATATTTGTTTAAATGTGAGAAGAATGATTCTTTTTTCGTGATGTAGCCAATGGAATAAAAAAAATTCTTTTCTTTTTGCAGGAGCGCTTGATCGCCAGCAATGCCTGGAAGGACTACGCTTCCGGTGCAAACACGAATTTCGCATTTGAAGCATTCGAGACGGAGGAGAAAGCACCGCCACCGCCAGTTTCCAGCCTGCCGAGACCTAGGGAAATGACTAGCAACGGTTCGATGGGCATGAACGGCCACGACAGCGTTGACGGATCCAACAGGATGGTCGGACCTAGGGCGACTTACAGTCTGCCTCGCGCGCCCGGCGCCAGGCACTCGGCACCCATTCAGCACGGTTATTACACTCAAGACCGCAGAGACCATTACGGACGCCCAAAGAGCCTGCACAATCCCGCGGGCAGCGCGACAAATCAAACGAACCAACCGGACTTTTACTTCATGCCAAGCCAGCGGAAGTACAGCGGCGAAGTCGTGCGCGTCTACGTGGATTACGGCAGTCAGGTGCCGAAGTAACAGGATTCGAAGCCGAATCGCGCGACAGATTTTTATTCGCTTCACCGAAGCGACTTGTATATACCTGAGTTACTGGCAGAGGACGCGTGGAAAAAAAAAGACTCGCAGTCTCTGCGCGGTGCTATTATCTCGATTTCTTCTTCCCCTTTCCCCGTGACTTCCCTTTCTCGAAGATTCACTCGATCGGTTCGCGCCGAGAGCCCGGGCCAAAGAGAGGGAAGTCCCCGTACGGAAGCATAGAAGTGGCGCTTACGACCAAAGAAGTTATACGTAGGGCGCGCGTCCTATAATTCTGTACAGAGCGCATAAACTCTCGTCGAAACTTTTGTGCTTTTGTGGTGGAAACTGTATAGTTACGTAAGTCTTATGCGAGCTGAGAATCCGAAAATTTTTGGGTCCCAGAATCGGATCTTATAATCTAACTCGTATTCGACGATCCGGGAAATTCGAGGGCCTTAAAATTTAATATCGAAGGAATAAGGTTCTAACCCGTGGATTCTAAAATTAGAGGAGATTTAACGATCCTGAAATAAAAGAATTTCGAAATCCAAGACATCGTGTACCTAAGGTTACGACGCACGACGAATATGGATATGTATTGATTTCGCGCGACTATACCGACATGCCGAACGAATGTATCTACTTAAAGAGCAATGATGTTTGAGCAATAAAACATTTGTACATTTTTAAACAGAATTGGCGCGTGCTGTTTCTTTAATGGATTAACCTGCTTACGTTCAAAGTGCTACCCATACTGTTTTAGCTATAAATATAATCCTGTTAATGCTCAAGGTTGTAAGAATGTCAGGAGAAACTGTATAACACAAGTATAACGATGGAAATAAACGCGCGAAGCACCTGTTAGCGGCAGTCGAAAGCGATTGCTAGCTAGAATCATTATAGATAAAACTTGTAATTACCTATGACAATATCAAGACACTATCGATATAGAGAATCGTGTTGGTACGGATTATAAATTATTACAATAGTGATAAAATTAACGATATAATACTTGTAATAATTATAATAACGATAGTTGTAGCAGCAGTAGTAACGATGGCAATAATATTACAGTATTAATTACATTAATGTCGTTAACAATGGCGTCGCGTGCAGCCAGGCTTCCGGAACATCTCCGCAAGCGATGGAATTATATCGTAATATAAGGCGCCAAAGGTAAGCTCTCCCTCCCTCCCTCTTCTTCACTCTCACTCTCACTCTCTCTCTCTCTCTCTCTCTCTCTCTCTCTCTCCTTCGTACTCCCCGAAAGTATACGCGAGCATATATCCGGAAGCCAATCGTGGCACGCACTGCCCGCGTTCTCCTATTATTACATAACTAGTATCGAGCACATATTTCCGGCCCTATCATAAAGTTTTTTTTTTTCTTCCGTCACACGTGCGAAGTTTGAGAAACGAGTTCTACGCGAATCTAATATTTTCGTGCCCGAGGAACGCGAGCACGAATGATACAGTGGGAGTAATGTGGGACGACGAATAAACGTGCGACTGAACTTTGGTGTTTGTCAGGACGCACCTCAAAGCGTTTTATGGGAAATTATATACGTAAATCATTTATATAATCGCGCGCGTACTCGCATTCGGCGGGCACATCTTATCTCTGCTTCTTTTTCAATCTATCGATCTCTGTTTTCTTGTTAGCTTTTCACACATACATGCGTTATTATTCTCTCTCTTTCTCTCTCTCTCTCACACACACGCACACACACTTTTTCTCTCTCTCTCTCTCTCTCTCTCTCCTTCTCTCTCTCTCTCTCTCTCTCTCTCTCCCTTTCTCTCTCTCTCGCTCGCTCACTCGCTCGCCCTTTGCCATCTCTGCCCTCTGGCACGCATCCGTGTCATCATCGGCACTTGTACACAACTCGTGTCAACACACCTCTCTTTCTCTTCGTCGATCAAAGCGGTGTACAATCAAATGTCCGTATTGAGAACTTCTCGCCAACAAAGTTCGTAAACAAAGTTCGTACTGTAAACTTTCTTTTCAATTCCCATTCTTATTCTAATGGCACATATGCAAAATGAAAACCGTTGCATTGATCTTGTGTTAACATAACATTTTTCATTCTAGACATGCACGCGTGATCACTTTGTGACAAATGTAAGTACTTGTGGAGCAGCACAAGAGAAGACATTCATTTTACGGACAGTGAGGTAATTTATGATGCTACACTCGCAATACGGACATTCGATTACAGTTAAACAATACAAACGAGGCGAACATCTGATAAATGGAGTGAACACCATAATAAGGCTTAATTTAATTTGTTAGTAACTCGTGTGATCCTCTGCACGCGTTTGCTGCACGAGCCTGTTTTCACGCAGGTGTGCACTATGAATGGCCCACTCAAACTTTGCTGCTGTACATTTTCCAACGTTTGTGACGATATTCAAAGCCGAATCCTGTTGTCTTTACCGATCTCCGTTTAGCACTCTATGACACACAACGATCCCTCCTCTCGTTTCTATCGCATCGCATCTCATTCATCTACTTGCTATCTCACTTCCTCTGCCTGACATCGGACTCCTTGTTCGGCGTTGGTTTACTATAAATTCAATAAAAAAAGAAATGTCAGACGGACAGTAGCCAAGTGCGAGAATTCATAAGATGTCCTCGCTGATATACAATTTATAATTTAGAAACACATTCAACAAGGCGCGTAATTGTGGAATAAAGTAGGATAAATAATTCTCATTCGCGTTTTTCTTTTCGTAAACAGCGAGGACAAGTAATTTAGCCAAACTGAAATTGGTTTCAGAGTATGATGTCTACGGAACTTATCCGATAAGGATATGAATTAAACATTCCTGTTTCCACGGTTCTGTGACGTTGAGGATGGCATTGGAAGGTCGGTGGGAAGGAAGGGGTCCGTGAAACGGAATGTACCATTCCAAAGGTTCATCGACAAGAAAGTCAGGTTCATCGGTAGGAATAGATTCTACGCTACTACAAATCGAGAAAAGATGTAAAACTCTATTGCACACTTGATGAAATGATGAGAGAAAAATAAAACAAAAAAAAAAGGACACTCACGTATCAGGGCTCTGATCGGTATCGGACTCCTCGAGTTCGGCTTTGTTCCGCTTCTTTTCGTAAACTAAGATGATGGCGCATAGAACGACGACTTCCGCACAAATGCCTAAGAAGGGCCAGAGTGCGGCGAGTTTGTCCTTGACCCTGAGGAATGTCTCGGCCTGCGACGTATGTTCCGGAACGGAATCGGACCAGTTGTACGACACCCTGCAGATAATGTTACCGCGATCGTTCATCTCGATGTTGTCGACAATTAGGACGGTGCCGTAGATGCCTCTCTCCTGGTCCTTGGTGATCTTCACGCGGCCCTTACTGCGCGTATAATTCTGGTCCCCGAAAGTCCAGGACACCTTTATACCGGGGTGCAACTTTCCGCCGCATACCAAGTGCAACTTTTCGCCTTCTACGACACTGGTGGAGTCAGCTAAATGTGCCACTGGCTTTGCTGAAATTTTAAAATCGCTTGTAAAACAAAAATTGATCCGACGCAATGTCCTCGCACGCTTTTTTGCTTTTTTCTTAATAGATATTTTTCTAACAGTAGCTTATATTCAAATCTGTGTAAAAAATGTTGGAATACTTACGTACGACTCTGTACTCAATTGTGGAGTTAGCCGTTTTACAAGTGTAATTTCCATGAAGTATATCTTTTTCCTGCAAAATCTCCAAGTTGCCGGTGTCATTATCAATCTTGAACAATTCTTCACTGCCAGCCAGTGCCGTGTTGAGCGGCGTCTTCTCCTTCTGCCATTGCACCTTATCACCAGTACTTTTGTTTGCGCATTCGAGCACCAAAGGTGCTTCCTTGGTAAGTACTCTAACTTTAATATCTGCATCAAATAAGGAGACATTGCTTGTCAGTGTTGTGTTACAAGTATAAGCATGCGACTTACAGAATAAAAATAAATCAGCGAGAAAAAAATAATGCACATGCAAGCATCTTTATGTTACTCAAAATTTTAGGGATAACAACTGAAATTCTATTTCATGGTGTAAAAGAATTTGTTTGTAACTTTATTCTCTAAATTGCTCAAATATAATATAATGCACGAGTGACAACGGCAACTACTACTACAGTTATATTTAGAACGTCGTCCTAAATATTCTGTAATAATAGCTAAGAAACATGGCAACTGAAGAAATGCAAACAATTTACATGTTCCACCTTTGTAGAATAAGTTCATTCACTTTTACGTGAATTGTTTGGAAGTTATTGTGTTAGAAGCACGTGATGTTGTGTACTTTTGATTTTTTTAACAAAAAATATTCATCGCATACATTGGAATAACTTCTTATTGATCAGAATAGTGTATACGCAGAAACAATTGAAAGATTACAATATGAGAAATTCAAGAAAGAGGGAAAGGAAATAAGTAAAGTAATATCTCGAACATGCAACACGGGACAATAATGAGAAGTTAGCAGTGACGATAGAAATATTGATTATCAAACATTATCAGAGGTATTGGAGAAAAAATTTCAGATACAAGCCACGTATGTCTGTTGGGGAGTAAATACTTGACTTATTAATTTAATCGATAATCGATACTTAACTGTTTATCAGATGTTATCAAAGGAATCTGTAATAAATACGCGTACAAAACGTGATAATAAAGTATCAACGTACATGTAATAATAACCATATGTAGTACGAATTGAATAAACTAATTTTCTTAATGGAAACAACGATAAGCGCACGCACATCACATAATCCGATGGAAGAAACTACGTGAATACATATACAGGATATCGCGATAAAACCGCATGAAAATTCTTTTAGTGATATATTTTCGAGATGATAAAAAAAAATAGAGGATTTGTTAATGCGACAATGCATGTTTCATACTACAAACCGCAGTGTATCATAAGGTGGAAAGTTTCCGCATTGTCGGTGCATTTGTATTCGCCGTCGTGACTCTCGGTCGCCTGGCTCGCCGAGAGCGAGCTGCTGTGGGTGCCAGCTTTTGAGAGGACAACCAGCTGACCGCTGGACAACTCGGGTTCCAGCGACTGGCCGTTTCTGGTCCATCTGATGGGATCATCGTCCTTCAAGTCGTTGCACTCGATGCTCCAAGACTGCCCCTCGTTCACGAGCGCTGGCCCCGAGTACTTCACTGTTATTTATCGAAAACAGAAAGAATTGAGATTTGTAGAAATTTAGAAAATATAGAGACCACAAGAATTAATATCATTCTCTTCTCAATTTGATTAAGCTAATTAACGAATCAAATAAATGTGAATATTTAATCTTTCTTCTGGAAAAGTACAACACAATAAGTACAGAATTGCGAATTAGTAAATTGAATGAAATTCTTCGTAAAAAAAAAAAATTAATCACGTGATGTTTTAGCGTAATTATTGCGTATCATACTCCTTGCAATAATGTGTTATTACAGCAGACAGTCAGGCTTGTAACTTGACATGCTTTAAAAAAAATTCATCACTCGTTATTTCCACGCGTGACTATAATTTCTTCTTTATCACCTAGAATAAACCGGTATTTGCATAAATGGCTGTCCTTGGCTACCTTCGAAAATATTCTTGTATAGGAGAAAGGCGGGATAAGTTTCCGAGAAATCGACGTAGAAATTATCACAAATAACTGTACAACGCTACTTTAGCAATTTTTGTCACGCGATAGGTCAAAGGTGACGTCTATTCTTTCTTATTTCTCGTCATATATTAATTAAGCTAATTAATTTTTTTACGAAATATTTCCAAGTTGATGTATTTCTATTTTTAAATCGATTGAAAACTTCGAGACTTATATTCAGCTTCCATACAGTTGATCGATATCCAATTCTAGAAAACTCACGTAGGTCGAAAGAAATATAGGCGAAAATATATTTATTCTTATTACGGACGCGAAAATCTCTGAATTGCGAATACTTAATATGCTTGAAGAGCGCATATTTACGTCAAAATAGTCGATAAAATGTTTTCCTGCTTTTGCGTTAGGAATAGGCATCGTATCGGCATCGATCACACGAACTCGAATCGTGATATCAGTTAATTATCTCTCAAGTATTTGTGGCACAATAGAATTCTTTCCCGGAAAGCAATTAATACTAATCCAACTAATTTATAGCAACGCTTGAAACTTTGATGGCTGCTTAATTCTGAATTTAACATCTATATATATATATTATTTCTCTTTCAACACTCTGCAGAAATAAGTAAAGAAATCCTACAAAGCAATTAAATTTTTACAAAGAAGTTATTACTTCTGAATCTTTGATCATTTTTTGCTCATTATTTTCACAAAACATTTATTATATATTTTACTATCTCTGATACTTTATTAATTTCTTACGAAAAATTAATTTTTGTATTATCACGATAATTACGTAATAATCATAATGTTTATAAAAAATATAATCCTGCGAAAAGAATATACAAGTCGCGAACATTATTGGACGAACGGAGTTTACATAAAATTCTCTTCTCAACAGCTTATATTATGTGTTGATGACGAATCAGCAGAATTATTCCACGTGATGACGTACGCGTACATGTGTACGTGCGAGTTAAATGCGTCACAGTAATTTCACAGTGACAGCAACAAAGACAAACTGGCATAGTCGATGAAAATATGAGTCAGAGCAGAAATCGTTATTTGAGTCGCTACACGATAGCTCAGTGGTCAAAATAAAATGTTTGTAGCGTTATCAACGCCAATTGAAGAGATGAATATCGTGCGCGGAGCAAGCCACACGCGCTAATTAATTTCAATCTATTACTTTAATATCGTTAAAAATCTATTAAATGAACAAAACAGAGATCTGGAAATAGAAAAGTCATTTCATGTATTTTTTAAAATTAATTTGTGCAAAATAACTTTTATGCAAAATTGTTTAAATTTATTACATTAAGAGGATTAATTACAATAGAATCTAGATTTTCCGAATAGAGAATATATATTCTCATATAATAATAATAGAATTGTTCATAATATCTCCAATCACTTTTTCTTGTTATTACACGAGCTTTAATTCCGTTTCGTTCACACTTTAATTACATTGTTCATAATAAATTACGAAGGCTGCAGCTTATATAGAATTTTAAATCATCGATATTCACATATATCGTACGCCGTTTTATTTCATCGTAAATCAATACCTTTACGGTTAAACCCTGTTGAGTTGTCTTATGCTCGACACGATTTTTGAACGGCAATCAGTCAAGTGTACAACATTCAAGAGTCAACGTTCGCTCTGTTTGTTTTTTTAATTAATATAATCCACGTATTATGATTTGGACAGAAACGAATCAAATTAATATGTGAATGTTTGAAATAATCTGACTCTCCTTGATTGAATTATCCAGATAATATCGCATAATCGCAAGCGATCGAACATGCCGAATTTTCTTGTTTCGGTTCGTTTGATAATTTTGTCCTTGGGAAAATTCAATCTGCTGACAGAAAGAGAATTGTCTAGCCGACTAATACAGCGTCAAATGCGAATGGGCACCGGAACACGGTGACTCCGGGAAAATCAATAAACTACAAATGTTATTTTAAGCCCGCTTTCACGATAGCTCCACGCAGCTGAAAATCCGCACGAGGCTCGCCGGCGACAGAACAAGGGTGCGACGAATTCTTGACCATTCTCGGTGCATTCCCGAAGAATTCTTAATAAGACAGTTTTTCACTCACCGACTAAAATGGAAAAAAAGCTCGGAAAATTGGCACAGAAATAAATACGCGACACTTGTGGAATGAACGATTAGATTCTAAATGTATAACATTTGAAGCGAATTAAATTTCACAATTGAAGGTCGTGTCCTTTAAATGCATTCACGATCCAACTTCTCAACTTGTGACTGTATCGTTGCGTATTGCACAAAGACAACGACGCAGAAAAAAAGGAACCGATATAGCACATAATTTCTGCCATTTTATTTCTATTCGGAGAGATCATATTCATGCTTGTATTCGCACTTTATTATTAGCTGACAAAATCGTGAATGATAGATTTCCGAAATATAAATAGAGCTACGAGTTTTTTTCTCTCAAATTTTTTTACAATTATCTTTACAATTATCTGATAGTTTGTTAGCCCATTTAAATTTCATGGTGCGCAGTGTTGCATTTTTGAGTACGGTAATCGCGATAAAATTCGACATACTTTCGAATTATTTTCCTAGATTCGCTTCTTTTAAAAGTCAAAGTTTTAGCTTATCTGTGCCTCACAAAGCCATGGGACTCGGGCGTACGCTTAGGAACTGTAAAAATAGATGCATCCTTGCAGGATGAGACGTAAGCGTTCTCATCTGGTGTTCAAGAATAGAGATGTTTTTCGACCACCCAGATGTGGTGGCTAGATATCGCGGCTAGGTAGAGAGAAGAGCGCTATTGCTAAAACAAATTAATATTACCGTGTACGAAAAGTTCTTTTCTTAAAATACCTGTCCGCAAAATATCCAACCACCGTCGTAATATTCGTAAAAATAGAAAAAAAAAACTTATTTAACGTCAAATTCGCGTATTCCTCAAAGTTCGTTAACTCCTTTTTCGATCCACGGATTGCCAACACACCCACGCAGGTCGGACTGATAGTCTTTCGAAAAACCCACGCGAATTCTGTGGATCTGCAATTTAACCTTGCAAATCGAACGATCGAGATGCTGTCTGGAAAATGACGAGAGTGCCGCGTATTTTTTTCCCGGCAAGACGAAGTCGGTTCAATTCGGTGCGTTATGAACCCGCCGCCGTGTTGCGGTTTATAGATGTAAAAATAGGTGAGCCGCAGCTATTCGGAGTCAAGTTTTTAGCATTCTCGCGTCTGGCACAAACGCAGACAGGCAGAGAGAAGCGACGTCCTCCACTCACTCACTCACTCACTCTCTCTCTCTGTCTCTCTTTCCTTCTTCCCTCCGTCTCTTCCTCCGGTATAGTCTCGTCGCATCGTGTATATAGAGGCTAAGTATAACGATCCCCTCGGTGGACAGATACCAGATATGGGTTACCATTCGCGGGGAACTCAGTCGAGTTTTCTGGGTGGACGGAAAACAGGGTCAATCGTTGCGCAACAAAAGTTACCGCGGCGCGAATACTTTATCATCGTCGCCATCGACATCGTCGCGAAATACGAGAGCGCGATGCGACGCGATTTCGTCAAGTGCGAGATTTCGTCTTCACTCCCGCGATTTTCAGACGCGATTCCTTCGCGTGTGAACGCCGCGCCGATAGCGTTGCGAAATCGTGATTATGACGCGAGACTCTGCGTGTAACGTGGAATCGCAGAGCAGTTCAATCTTGGCAGCGGTTTCTTCTCGCGAGTCCTTCATCGTGAAAGCAACACATCGCGATGATGTGCGAAGTGCCCAGTTATTGCCGCGTCGCTTGTTATCAACGATAAAAAGACATGCTACGCTGGTAGCGGATTTAAAAAAGATTCAATAAATAGTTGGACCAATATAGGATCAAAGAAGATCCGATAAAAAGTGTTTTTTCTTCTTCCTATTATATTATCAATATATATTTCTCAATATGTCAGTGTTCGATAAAATTAATATATTATTATAATAAATATAATTTATAAGTTTTAGTGTCATTAATTTTTTGCTAAAAATATTACATATTTAAGAAAAAAAATGCTTCTTTAGAAACTTAAGATAAGCTTGTTGTATAAATTATTAAAAGACAGTTATAGTAACTTTATATTTAATTATTTTATTCTGAAATGTAGGTGGAAGTACGCTTGGGAAGGCAATAATAAATATTAATGTTAGACTCCGAATACTGACAGCAAAACGTAAATCGATGAGTTCAACTAACGATTTGACATGTTAATATTCGAAAGATTGATGTTAATGACCGTACGTGGAAAGATATCGCGAGGATCGATAAAGGAAAGAAAGACAATTGTACGAAGAGGGTTTATATATCTGTTTACCACGGAACATTCCTATTATCGCAGAATATTTCTATTTATCATTACTTTTAATTATGAGCCGCGATTTTCATTCCCCTTTTAGAGATAAACGAATAACATGCAGAAAAGCGCGTGCAGTGAATCGCGATGGGTGCAGCATGCCGTGACTCACGGAGATGCACACAACTGCAGCATTATCGACTAGACCTTTTTAGAACGCGTCCCAACGCGTATCGATAAGTCTCATTAAATGACCTAGAAAGCAATGCTCGACGCGAGATGCTTAACAAACTACAAATTACATTAATAAACGCGCCTATCGACACGTTCACTTTCGAGCTGTTTGCTCGCCACTTGCCGAATTCCATCATCAAAATTTAAACGCATCCATCGTAATATTTAAACAAATTATTATGAAATATGTCGACAATGTTTAAAATTGACGTTTCTTCAGCTCAAAAGAAGATTACCATTTCTTTTTACACTTCAAAATACAAATTTTTGCAATAAGAATGTTTTTTATCTTTTCTTCAAAAGAGGCATAAAGTTTTATTTCTCTTCTGTATTTTTAAATAAACCATAAACTCTCTTTTTAAGTGCAACATATCTTCCCAAAAGAATTTATCATATTTTTATGGGATTTGAGTTTAATGTGTGCAATTAACATTGCATATAATTTTCTTCCTGTTTCTGCGTTTTTAAATGAGTTGAACAGGCGCAACGTATCTTCTGGAAAAAAATCTGTTATATTTTCATGTACTTAAATGTCCGATTGTGTGTTAATATGTTTCGTATGTGATCAACATGTGTATTTTACAAGAATCTAACGAGAGTAAAACTTTCGGTTTCATCTCCGGCATTCTCGCGACACTTCTCGAATGTGGGTGTACCGTTTTGATAGGCAGTGTCAGTGATGCTGTAAATATTAGTAGCTGTGAAAAGAGATCGCATCCGATGAAATCCCCTATGTATTCACACACCGACGCGAAATCTTTAACACAAACACTGACGAAATTATGACGGAAGAAGCAAATATACCGACACGCGATGCATAAGTTTAGCATTTTCCTCTGCGATAAAAGCATTGCGAGCTTTCGAATATTATTCTCGTTTAAATAAAAAACATCCGTCGCGCAAGACGTTATAATTTATTCCTGTATTTTTTCTCTGTCGCGCATTGTTTGATTTTTACCGCAATTATCTTAAAACGAGTTTAAAAAATAAAAACGCAGCTAACTCGTAACTAATTTGATTGTACTTTTTTGTACTTTTTATAATGCTTCTAACTTTTTCCTTCATTTCTTTCACTCAATCGCAGTAGTGATAAAGATATTGCTAGCAATAAAAAAATAACAAACGTCATTAAAAAATATCAAATGTAATTTCGTGATTTTCTCTATAGCTGTCCACAATAGTTTCGGATTAACGTATTTATTATAAATTGTGAGCACCGATTGCCGTATTTTTCGGCGTTAAATTACATTATAAAATTCTTAAGGCCGGAATTTCTTGTTTGTCTCCAGCAGTCATCTCTTCAAATTTCGTATTTATCGAAACTATTTGTAATATTTGTATTATTAGTATTTGTACTATTTGTATCGAAAACCTGTTGGATTATTCACGTGATTGTTATTATCAGACGCACGATCTAATCTTCGAATAAAGTCCTCATGATAGATATGGCTGCAATAAAATCCACTCGGCAGTAGATTATTACAACGTCCTCTTCAGTATTATTATATGTAACAGCTTTTATTCCTCTGACTCCAGAAGCTATAATTCACATCGCGCTCAATAGAAATGCGACCCGAGATGTTCCATTTTCGTATCTAGAACTGTAAGCCCGGTATTCTCTCATCGTGCGTTTAGCATCTAAACGCGTTCGTCTCTCATCTTCGTGTATATAGCGAGTGAGCTTTAATATGAAAGAAGAAATAACAAACGCGTCAGCTGTATTTATTTTCACACATGTATAAAGTTTCATTTCCTGCTAACTATTCTCAATAAAAACTTCTAAACGTTAAAATTATTAACACAGATATAATTTTGTTCAAGTTTTTAAAAATTAAATTCAAAACGATCTTTATGAAATATACAATTGAGTTTTATTGCTAGAAGAATGGTTTCTCTCGCGAAAACATGCGCGTTTAAACGAGCATCGCTTAGTATGATTAATCATGTGCGGACTCTCCGTATCCTTATAGATTGTCTTCGTCCGTATTGTGATAGTATAATTTTAAGAAGCAACAGTAAATCGTTAAATAAACTCGACTGTCATGCAAGTCAAGTTTTATCAGACTTGAGTGAGCAATGTGCAAATCGATCGGATACAAATTATCATCAACTGAAAATTAACAATATATGTAGCTGTCTCTAATCGATGAGAGACGACCGTGATTAATAATAACGATTGCATCAAGTCTACATTATCGTGCAATAATTTTATCAGCTATATAACAGATCTATGATACAATACAGCCTGCCAATGTAACACATAATTACTGATGCAATATTATTGATATATTCCTATAAATTATCGATGTAACATTGTTAACGATGAAATTAATTAATGTTACAGATTATGGAAAATATATGAGAATCTTTCGGCTACGGTAAACACTGAAAGTGTGTGTTCTTTGTATAATAAATAATCATGACGCGAATATCCGAGCAAATGAACGAGCTTTTGTAATCCCGTGGCCCGCTGTAATCCAGCTACGGGAACCGATACTGTTACCATGACGATTTCCATTTCGGAATTACATGATCAATCATCGCAAATGTCAATTAGCACACACGACCGTAAACGAATCATGGTGTCACGTGAGCTGTTCGTTTATTGACCGCGCCAGGATCAAACGCGCTTTTCGGGGGGGAAGTCTCGTCGTCCACGCGCACTCGGCTAAGGGAATCCAAAGTTATCAGGTAAATCGAAATGACCAGGACGATCAGCCAATGTTACCGGCGCCTTGCAAGGGTCAGGATGTGAGAGCGGAGGGTCAGAATAGGTAGTACGATAATACCAGGAATCGACGGACGGACGGAGAAGAGCCGTCGTGTGCGCGCGGCGTTACAAATAAACGATCGTCGCGAGCAAGCGGGTTGGCCATCGAGGAGAGGCCGAAAGGAACCAGTGCACGCCTCGAAGAAACTCACCTGCCTGGACCGTGACGAGGGTGCCCACCGCTAAATATAGCATCCCCAGCACAAAAGCAGCTCCTCGCCTCTCCATCCCGGTGGCGCTGCTGCCGATGTACGATGCGGTGGCGCGTGACCGTGTCTACGACAATACGATATCAACGACACGAGCACGAGATGCCCAACGTTGTTGGTGTTGTTGTTGTTGTTGTCGTCGTCGCGAAGCGAAAAAAATTCTCCTACACGATTGTGCGATGCACTTGGATGTCGGCAATGCCCTAAGCGGCGGCCAACCGTGTATAGCAATTGTCGTCCTTCTCGTCCTCCTCGTCGACGTTTTCGCTCTCGACGTTGTCGTCGTTAAGCGTCACTCACCGCGCTCGACACTCCGTCGTTGTCGGTGATCCGCGACGAAATTCCTTTGCACTCGACCGTGCGCGACTGACTATCGCGCGTCCAGATTGTACGCGCGAGAACACCCGTCACGCCGCACCTTCTCCTCCTCCTCCTCCTCCTCCGCCGTTGCTGTTGCCGTCACTGTTGGAGATGATGGAGAGGAGTAGTCACGAGTTATCACTGATCGTCTTTATCGTTATCTCCGCACTCGATTCTTATCTTTTAATGCGCACTGCACACAAAGACCGTCCGGGTGTACCGCCGCCGTCCGTCGTCGTCGTCGTCGTCACCGTCGTTGCCCCGTCCTCGCTTCCTCCTCCTCCTCTTTTTCTTTCTCGTTATCGTCGTCGTCGATCCAACTCTCGAGCAAATGAAAGAGAGCAAAAGAGAGGGAGAAAGTGAGATACAGATCCCCACGGGACAAATAGCACCGTAAGCCACAAAAGCTACGGTAACGTCAGAAGAAAAATGGCCACCGAAATCTTCTGCTCCGTGCTCCGCGCGGACGTTCGTCTCACTCTGTCGCCCGACGATCGTTCCTAATCGTTCCCTCCTTTTCCGGTAGAAACCGCGTCCTCTGTTGTGCTGTACAAAACGCACATGCGCGGCACTTAAGCATTAATTATGTTTAACATGATTGAAACCCTAACCAACTAAAATTTTATATATAACCTAAAAAATACATTGAGAAAAACCTAAATCTCCCTACATCTCCCTTCGACCAATCAAGGTATCTCAATTTTGTCCACTTTGTCCTGATGGGTCGAATTCCAATCTCCAATCACAATCTTCAATCTTTAATGCATAATTTGATACAGGCCTAAAGGGCATTTAAGCATGCGATGCGAGAAGTGCATAAAAAACATACTAACTTCACTCTATAGCGCGAAAATATAGCGTTCCTCGTGCGCGTATGCTGTTCTATAATTCTAACGCGAATTTTTCGCAACGTTTGTTGCAATACACATTACACTTTAACAATGAACAATATTTTTTTCAGTGGCCACGCGCAGCATCACCGGAAGCGCACTTCGGTTCATTTGCCGCCAAACTACCCTGCGTGCCGCTGCGATGAAGCTGTTGTTTATCTGTCGGCTCGCGATCCCCCGTTTACAGCAGGGTGAATAATCGTACTGGAATATTACGCATCACGTCATCGAGTCACTCGAAGTTCATCGCTGCGCGAAGTTTGTCAGACTGGTTTAATCGCTCGAATTTCTCGAACTTCATTCGACACACCATGGCCAAGGTTCAGCTAGCGAACGTTGCTGTCCTCGACAATCCTTCGCCGTTCCTGAATCCGTTTCAGTTCGAAGTCACATTTGAGTGCATCGAGGAGCTTAAAGAAGGTGCGAATTCAATTCTTTGCGAATCTGTGAATGCTATAGTATATCGATAATACATCGAAGATACTCGGTTTGTCCCAGTGTACACGCGACTTTTAAAGCATCCATCTTTAGGTTAATTTTGCAACAGTGATGTCACAGCTTCTAATAACACACAATAGTTCGTGCTTATCTTGCAATATAGCAAAATGACTATAAAAAAATAGCAATAATAAAAATAAGAAACGTATTTAAATGTAATAAAAGTTTGTAACCTAAATTCTCTGCAATATAGTTGTTTTCTTCATTCTTATACACAATGTAAACTATATATAATACTGATATTTTTTCAGATTTGGAATGGAGGATGATATATGTGGGCAGTGCAGAGTCAGAGGATTTTGATCAAGTTCTAGACACTATTTATGTTGGCCCAATCCCAGAAGGAAGACATATGTTTGTATTTCAGGTAAAACATGTATCAACTTTATTATATTGTATATCATAACTTACCAGATTTAATAATTATAATATTTTGCATTGTTCCTCACTTTTATGTTTGTTGTTTTTAGGCTGATCCACCTGATGTGAGTAGAATCCCAGTGAACGATGCTTTAGGAGTAACTGTTGTGTTGCTGACTTGCTCCTATAGAGGTCATGAATTTGTTCGCGTCGGTTATTTCATAAATAATGAATACACGGATCCAGAGCTTCGAGAAAATCCACCTCCACAACCACAATTTGATAAAGTTCAAAGGAATATATTAGGGGATAAACCACGTGTTACTAGATTCAAAATCAATTGGGACGACTGTCCAACTGGTACGGCAAACAATCTGCCAGAAGGCATGGAAGCGCCAGCATTGGAAGATACGTCGCAGGATGCACCCACGTCTACATTAGGTTTTACAGAGAATACACAAAACGGTGGAATGGAAGTGATGTGAAAAACTGTTTGCTACTGATAAGAATGAATGATAAAGTAGTACCTGGAAAAGAAGATGGAAGTACACACACTCCGTAATATATTTAGATAATTTAAAAAAATCGCGCAAAATGACCTTCCATATAATTATCAATGTTCTATAAGAGTTTACATACATTTTGAAAAGACACTACGTGTTGGTAATGTGATAACTTTGTTTGAACAAAAAGAGTGAAATGATTGTTAGCAAAATAGTTGCTCCCACATTTCTCACAATGAAATAACGGTACTGGATTATCATTTTATTATCTCTTTAAAATAGTGTAATTTCTGCAAAAAAGCTTACAAATAATAGCAAAGTGATAGAAGTAATTCTAGCAACACCTACAAACGACTAAATTAAATACAATAGATAAGTATGAACCATTTCACTAATGCAATAACAATTTTGACAATGTTTTCTAATGTAATGATTGTTTTTAAATTATTGTGTTTCATAGCCTATATAATTTGAAATTGAAAACTAAAAAAGATTTGTTTGGTATTTGAAATATTGCATCATTATTGCTTATTATAACGTCATGTTGCACTAGATCGTAAGACAGTTTCCATTTTTTATTAGTGTATATATATATATACGTACTAAGATAAAAATACATATTGTTTTTTACTTGATAGAGACGTGTTTTTTTTACACCCTTGATTCTGACATTTAATTTAATCCAGAATCTAAATTGGAATATAATAGATATATAAATATAATAGATACTTCACATTCTTATGAAGATAATTAGAAAACTAGATCTAATATACCTTGCTAATACGCATGCATTGTCTATATGATGTTTATACGCAATACGGCTCCTCTAATATATTTGTTGTAAAACTTTTGTCATTAATTTTTGCTTGCTTTTGCTCAAGAAGGGAAAAGGATAACATCAATTATTTGCATTTTATAAAATTTTTATTTTGTTTAATTACCAAAGTATATATTGTTGAATATATTAAAAAGTAGCAAAATTTATAACTATTTTCAAAGATTGTTTTAGAAGAAATTATGCTGAAATTTCAAAGAATACTTTTTTTGCAGCGTTTTTAAACATCTCAAAATCACGCAAATACACTATTCACGCTACTATTGTAAATATTACCGCAGATACATCCGGTATAATCCGAAAATTCTTCTAAGGTGAAGGAATCCTACAATAGGATTATTCTAAGAATAATCTTGAAGATTTGTCTAGCTACATTATGTTTTATTCTCTAAGAATAATCCTATTCTTCTATTGTCGTTGAGTGGCAACCTAATTTTCCATATAAGTGTGTAAAGTCTTTGATATAAACATATACATATAACGCATATACACATCCGTTAACAATATTTAATGCAGTACATGCCTACAATAAATGCCAAAATTGGAAAATCAATTGATTGAATGCTCCATACTCACAAAGGACAAAAAATTATTTTGAATCATAAAATATGTATCAAGTTTTATATTTTCTCAATTTTCCTTTGGGTGAATGTGGACATATCGAGCATTATTCATAAGGAAAACTAATCTCTTCATTGATAATTGCAAATAAATAAGTTGATGCAAAAAGGGATTGTGAAAAAAAATATATTTTAATTTCGTAATATTTGTTTAAATTTAATTGTTGCATTGTTGATTTTTCTTTTTTTTGTTTTAGCTTAAGTGTCCCAGTTGGATCTTTAAGCTATTTAGCATAAATAATCTATTGCATTTTTAAGAAGAAAAGAAATGATATATATAGTTCTTTATTGCAAAAAGATCTTTCCAATCATCATGAACAGTTCCTCATTGCACACTCATTGCTTAGGCTGATGGCAGAAAATGAGATGTAAACATAATCGTGGACGTATGGTAAGACGGAGAAAACTAAGTCATGGAACGTATTCACACAATAGCCTTTTTCTCTGCGTTACCATTTATCCGCGACTACGATTTTCGCCTCATCCTCTACCATCAGCCTTATTCCATTTATCTTTATATTGACATCTTTTACCTGAATTTTGTATTATGCTGATCTTTGAAAACCTACCTGTTTGGAGACCCAATCGCAGAACCATCAATAAGCAGAGCGTTAGCCATGGAGAGCCCAATTAAATACGCCTGGTTGATGACACAGATGAAGAGTACACTCAAAAAAATAATTTCGCTGATGTAGTTAGATTTCTAGATATCGCAACAAGAATGTATCGCTATTTTTCGTATCTGTGAAAACATTGTTTGTCACATATAGAATTTATAGCAGTAATGTTCTAGCAATAGCTTCTGAAAAATTTAGGTACCATTGCTAAATGTTATTCATTGCATGATTTAACACGTGATTGATCTTATATAGATAGGCGCTTTAGAGAAACTTTCTTTTTAAAGTTCACAAACAATACAGATATATATTCTGTTTCTGTCATCTAAACTGATTAAGTAATTACATATGCAATATCACAACAGTTGCTAATCATTTATCTGTTTTAGTTAATTTTTTACACCTAGAAAATTTTAGCTATTATTGCAAGATCATTTTTTTGAGTGTACATGTAATAATGCTTTGAATGATTCATAGGTTTATTATCCTTTCCCAAAAACGTATTATAACTCAGAATTCTGTTTGAGGCAGAAATAGTTGTCGGAAGAAAGACCGAATCGAATAGAACACTGAACTGAACAGTATTCCGGTCGAAACGCTATTCGGTTACAGCAAATGTTCTATAGTCCGTATTTAGCTTTAAGGATCCAAAACGTTCCTTACACATTATATTTATAAAAACTAAATCAGATTAAACTATACTTACATGCTACATCCATTTCGCAAAAATGTATTTTTATGCTCACATAATCCAATTACTATTTAAGAAGTAAAAAATTTCTTCTATTAGTTCAAATTATATCTTAATTAGAGCACAAAAGATTATAGAACTTACTTACATGAACTTAATAATGATAAGAGATAATGATAAGATTTGTCTAACTACATTATGTTCTTTTTTTTAATGAAATAATATATACATAAAACTAGTATGCATATTCAAATATTAGCAAAGAAAAAAGAAAAAAATGCAAAATTGAAAAAAAAGTGAAAAAATGCATAAAAAAGAACAAATCTGATTAATTTATTAAAGTATAATTATTAAATAATTAATTATTACATAATTATTAAATATGTTGTAATTATAATCTGTATATATGTAATCTGTATATGAATGCAAATCTCTAAAAAACAAAAATATTTTTGTCGTAGACAAAAAATCGTAGACGGTCAATGACCCCGACTTCTCATCATCCCCTCTCTTTACTTTCCCCTACTTATATCTTTTCAGTCGACAGGTCGACACTATGTCAGGCTCCGAGCTTGCATGAACCTGTTAGTGCATGTTCATTCTTCGTGTAGGCAAGATAGGTCAAGGCATAAGTGGACGATCATTCCGTCATTCACAAAAGCCAAATAAACTTCTCGAAGGAAGCTTATCGAATGATTTCGCCGGCAGCAGTCAATTGGCAATTTTCAAATAATCCATTTGACAGTTTTCTTGTGACAATTATACACGCCTCTGTTTTCCGGAAAAAATGGTAAGTGGCACGTCTTTGGCACGAATAAACAACATGTCAATGTGAAATTACTGTTCCTCGAACTGCGATTGATAAATCGACTTAAAGGACACACATATAAAAGTTTGTTGAGAATCTATTAGAGATCAATGTTTATTACGCGCGAAGTAATCGAAATACAGAGAGGAGAAACAATTTTCTAGTCGTTAAATTATTTTAATAATCTTTCTGACATTATTAATCCACATGTGCGTTTTCCATGTTTAAGAAAATCGAGATCTATCAAATCGTAGCTCGTAGGATAAATAACAAAGAAAAGAAATGCTTAAGATAATGTGTGAAAAGTATAATAATGTGTTATTGTGATTTTTGTTCGGTAGTTTTATCATTATTCTTGTGATTATTTGTGGCGAGCTTGATCGAATTGTGTGACAAATCGGAGCGAGATAAATATCTTGAAAAGATAACACTTTCGAACATTCTAGAAAGGCCCAAACATGTGAAACGCGTAATAACCAATTCGCTTTATATTATTATATTATTGTTAAATATTTGCCTTTGTCCAAAGTTAATAAGAATACAAATAAATAATTAATAAGAATTGACACAAATATAATTTGTTATTAACTGCGATTTGTTAAATTTAGATACAATTGCACTAATAATTCGAATTAACTAATATATTAATTAACTAAACTTATTAAATAAATTAAAAATTGATTGATCAATTAGCTTAGAGATAAAATTAATTAAGTTAACTTTGTTTCTTTCATGATTAGTTCTATCTTTAATAACTATAAACTGTAAAAAATTATAGATAGAGAAAGAAATTTAGTTAACTTTGGAGCAGAGCTAAATCGTGTACCTATGCAAATTCACATAATCGGTAGTGAGATACTAACTTTTGTTTGTGTACATTTTTTTCTGCCTATATTGTACCGCACATAATAGATGACAAGAGTATAAAAGCGTTATAATTTAAAATTTTAATTTCAATTTTGTTAAATTCAGATTTGTATGAACAACATGAAGAATACATATTCTTTTCAATCGTGATAATTCATAGGACCGCGAGATTCGGAGTAAAATACATTTTTCAACGTCTATATGGCTTTCCGATTCAATTCATAATAATTTAGAAAACTCGAAAAATTACTGATTTTAATTTTTGCTACATATAATGCAGAAAAGCATAATGCATCGTTATGTCAGATTTTATCAGGACTCTGACTAATACGATCGAGATTCTGAAGACTGAATTAATTTTTGACGATTACGGAAGTGCCTAAGTATCATTAAATTTTAGAATTTTGTGCGAGATTATTTTTCACACTTAAATGAACGATAAAATATATTTTTTAAACTTTAGAAAATTAAAGTATTTGTTTCTCAATTAATCATTAATTTAAGTAAATTTGCGATGTATATTTGTACAATTCCTGCGTTATAATTGATACTGACCTAATTTTACTAATTTCTTTCAATCTTTTAAATTAATCTTTTAAAAAGCCATTTAGTTATCTTTGGAATTAAAATTAAGATGATTTGTGAGATGCACAAGGATGACGCAATTCCGTGACAATTTCATCATCCTGCGATACACGAAAAAATCGGCGAAAAAGACAAAAGAAACACGAAGAAAATAATTAAAAAATTTTGACCCTGACCTGAAATAAAACAAAACACATATTTCTGGTTCTTATCGCGCGATTGCACCGGATTTCTCAGCACCATTGCCGGATGTGGAATGCACAGTAATACAATATCGCGAGTACGATAATTTACAAAAAGTCCTTTATTTGCGAGAAATTTTGATAAAAATGGTGAATTAAAAATTAAGATTTGAAAAGAAGAAAAGAAAAGAAGATCATTTCGAGCATTTGTGCAACCGCAAAAACGAACGCAATATATATATCATAATTTCGAACACAACTCGGAATTTTTCCCCATTCGACAAAGTCTCTATGACTCACGAACCGGTTGTCGATAGCATGAGTCATCCATCTTTTCCGATCCCTTTTTCTTCGAAGAAAAAGATTTCAAACGAAAATTTTGAATTTTACATACCACGCACTACCTAGGGAAAGCAAACACAATATAAATAACCAAGAACAAGATGCACAAAAAACCAAGATTAATGCCTATTTCCACCAATGTAAATTAACTTTAATCTCGATTCGTCTTAACTTACTCTTCACCTTTTTCTAATTCTTCGAACTAGTTCGAAGTTAAATTAAAGTTCGAGATTAAAGTTAATCTCTACGTTGGTGGAACCGAGCATAAAAGAATCATTTTCCGATTCTAGAATAATATGTGTTTTTATTACAGGCCATGATTGGTGAAAAATATCCATGTAACGGAGATCAAGACTGTCTTAACGGACTGTCTTACTGCTATGATGTCTCTCAACGTTGCGTTAATTATACACAATGCGTCAACTTTAATCGTGTCGAAGCTGAAGTACCAGCACGTGAACCGTCTCAGTGCGGGCCATGTATGAAAGGGTAAGAATATTATACGCCAATGCACTTGTTTCTTCCCATTTCTGCCATTATTTGTTACTCTATCAAAACACAGAAATAACAAAAATCGCCTACTGCATGCTTAGTCATTGTACATCTGTTTATCAGAGCCTCTTTAAATGTTATATTTATTCGATCGCACCGGTGCAACCACATGTACATTACACGATACAATGCAATGCTGAAATCTGCTGCTATTCTTTGCACTTGAAATTAGTTAAAGCTTTATATTTTTAGCATATTGGACGAAGTAAAATTTGACAGTATTTGTTATAATTATAATACAATAAGAATTTAGCATTTCATATCAAAGTAATCCATGTAAAAACATTTCTTGCTATTTAATCCTATAACTTTCTTTCATGTTAACATCGGAAAAATCTTCATCTATGAGAAAGAAATTTTCTAATAAATTTTACTGATATAAAAGTATATTTTTATAGTTATTTGACAATTTAGATGATGAGCGGCAAATATCGGTATAAAATTCTGTCCATCGAATGGATGAACTATATGTGTGTCGCAGTCAGAGAATAAACATCTGATTAGAATGGTATCGCATAACGATATAAAAAAAAGCGGCAAGCACGTGCGTTGAGAGTATCTTATGACCGATATAGAATCCACCTGATATGCAACATGATCTTCTGTCCTTTGTATAGAATTGTATATTTTTTGGATTTGTAGATATACCGATATCTTTGCGACCGGCAACCATAAGACACTATCGTGTCAAAAAGATGCAAATGAGCGTAAGTTGAAATTTCTTTTTATCAAAGTAAACTTGATATTACAAAATATTCATGTCTCAAATACGTGACACAATTATTTTTCTTCTAATTATTCAATATAATACAAAGCACAAAATTTCTCATTTTAAATTACACACCTAGATATTTAGAAAACTTTGGTTAAACCACTTAAATTTTTTTCTATTTTTAAAAAGTTTATTTTTTTCTAAATTTAATGATGTACAGATGAAAGTACAGAATTGCTTTACTTAAAGCGAAATATCCTGTATATGTATGTGTGTGTGTGCGTGTATATAATATATGTATATTTATCATTGCAGCAGATGATACTGCCAATATTGTAATGATTGTTTCGATCGTAATCTGTACGTTGATTGCGTTGACTGTGTTGATTTGGCTCATATATATTAATTATGAAAAACTTAAGAACTGCTTCTTAAAAAACTGTAAGTTTTTAATCCTTCATAAACACTTACCTTATATTTACATTATTTCTTTGCAAATACAATTTTCTTATATATATATAAAATCTGTATTTATATTCTTTTATTTAGTATTAATTTTATTATTAATAAAATAAAAAAATATATATATGTACGTCTAATCGTTCAAATTCAATTTTTATAATAACCATATCTAATAAAAGTAAATATGATTATCATGATAACAAATTAATATCGAAAATATATATTTTCTTAGGTTGCAACTGCTCTCCGGTGCAATCTGTGGAAATCAATCAGCGTATTAGCAATCATGCAATTGCGAATATTTATGAAGAAGCAGTCGCGAGCGCTCCACCAGAACAACGTAAGTGTATTTATATTATTGGATTCATAAATATTGTTATATAAACAAAATGGGAAAAGGTTTTGTTGCATTTTCCACAACGTGTTCCTTCATGACATATACACGGAAAAAAGAATTTTGCTATTGCAGCAAAATCGTCGTTGCTATTGTATATTAGATGTGATAGCGATAAAACTTTACTATCATAACTAATCTTTCAAATTATTCAATGTATCGAAATCTATTTTACTGATAGAATAGATGAATTTTGTTGAGTACATTTGTTTCTAAAGACACATTAATTTGCTGCTACGACAAAAATAATTTATTTTTAACAAATGTATTTTGCTAATGCAGCAAAATTGTCGCTGCCAATGCAATTTTGATGGCAAAGTAAAAATCAATTTATTATAATAGCGATATAATTTGCAGATTTTGCAAAATTATTTGCAGCAAATAAAATTAGCATCTGTAACAAATCTCTTTGCAATCCATAATTAACATGTTTTGCTATAAAGTATAAAGTTTATTGTGCTAGCAACTTCTTTTTTTTTATCGTGTAAGTTCAGTCAAAATTTATTCAAACAGTTTAAAGCTTCAATGACAAAATGATGATCTGTTTAAACCCAAAGAAATAATAATAATATAATATAATCCACTATTTATGGAACGTTGTAATAGCAAACAAAATCTCATAAAAAAATCTTGTATTATTTCTAAGTGTATAACTAGTAGATAATCGATAGCATGTCGATACTGATGCACATGATCTTGCCATCATAATATATTTATGTAACACAAACTAGAAGAAATTGCACTTAATTTTTGCTGTGTGTGTGTGTGCGCGCGCGCGCGCGCGCGCGCGCGCGCGTGTGTGTGTGTGTGTGTGTGTGTGTGTGTGTGTAAACTTTTCAAACAATATAAAGCCTACAAGCCTACAAGTCGACCGACGGTTGCTTGAAACCACGCTATAAAGAAATCTTTATAACAAACATAGATCAACATTTAAAAAAATACACTTCTCATATAAAACGCACGATTTTTTCCTAACTTGTACAAATATCTGCACAAACTAATAAATTAGTAATAATGAATTAAAGCTATAGATATACATAACTTGGGCTTTTAACCACACGCTTTTAAATTGTAGACATTTAAATGTGCACAAAAATAATCGGTTAAGAACGCGTTAACGAAAAACAATTATTGCATTACAGTATTTCTACATATCAAATCCATCAACATATTTGAACGGTGAAATAAAAAGTATGGAGAATTCAGAGCGCGGTAATTGTTCTGCAGATTATTGAAAAATTATATTTTATTTTTATAATTAGCAGATATAGAACGTATGAAGCAGCTTCGTATATAAATTTATATGTTTGCTTTCAGGTCCGTTTGTTGAAAAAGCAAATTGTGTTCTACCGCATAAAAATAATGGGAAGATAGATCACAATCAACTTCAAATGGCTGTACCAGCAGTACCACCAAATTGGGTACAGAATGCAAATTATGGTACGAATATATTAACTTACTCGAGTGATGAAATGGACGCTGCTGAAGAAAATCACAGAAATTGCACACTTCAATTAGCAGCTGTAAATGACGAGTAAGTAGATAAATATTTTATTTCCTCATAACCGATTAGTATTAAATTAATTTTTTGCTTATTTTTTTTCAATGCTATTTGTCAATTCTATAGCAATTTTATACATTTCTTTTTGTATCAATAGACTTGCAATTAAAAGCACTAAATTGCAAAATTTATTACAGAGAAATTCTTTCTGAACCATCAGAATATGCAGCAGTCATCATGCAACATGACACCAACTCCAGGAATACACCATTAATTAATTTGCCCAATAATAGTATCATAATGCAGATAATGCAGATAATGCAGATAATGCAGATAATGCAAACATTAATACAAGTTTCTCGCTTCAACCAAATGGAGAGATGAATAGACAAGAGAAAATAAAACATGTATTCATTAATCAATCATTAAATCAGCATATTACGATGAGTGTAAATGTGAATAAAGATGACGAATTAATAAAGCAAATTACAAATTAATCTAATATTGTTAATTAATTCGTCGTTTTTGTTCACATATAAAATAAATCATTTGATCATTTGATTTATTTTATATCTCTTCAATTTTAAATATAATTTTGTAAATTCCAAAATAAATAATAAAATTATTTTGTAATAAATCACAATTTTGCATTATACTTTGTTTTTTTTTATTTATATACATACCAAATTTTGCAAATTGAACCCTCTTAGATTCTTCTCGTCAAAAACTAAAAAAATTGGCTTGACATTAACAGACGTTAACTTGAATAATTAATAACAAAGAAATTACGTCTTATACTACTTCCTAGAGAGTAAAATTAAAAGCCGAGAGCACAAGCTTTTACATAAAGCATAACGCATAAGCATAAGGAAATTGATTGGTCTATATATAAGCATAAGCAAATGCATAAGGAAATGGACCAATCAATTTCCTTATGCTTATGCGTTATGCTTTATGCAAAAGTCTGTGCTCCGG